GTGGTAGTGGACTAACTGCAACTGGGCTGGTAGTGCTACTACTAGCCATTATAGGTATAGGTGTTGGATTATATTATGCCTATATATGCCTTAGAGCTCGACCACTCCGTCCCCGACAGCCCCCAGACTCAGAACACGGCCCCTTGATATCACCAGATCCAGATGTAAATGGGAACCATGAGGATGTCCCTCTTGAGGCTTCAGCCCCTACTGATGAAGAGGATCCAGAAAAAGTTAAGAAAATAATAGAGGAACCCAACACTAAGAAAGACCCTGCAGACCCACCTGCCTCTGATAGCCCTAAAGATTCCAAAACTCCCAATGGATACCCTAAGGAAAAAGATGAAGTCTTTGTGCCTGTTGAGGAAGTAGTTGCACCAGCAAAAATCTCTCATGAAAAGGAGACAGTCCCAGTAATCAATCATGTAGCTCCTGTAGGATTAGTAGCTCCTCTGGGGCTGGTTGTACCTGCAAAGACAGAACCATCACCTAAGCCCACACAACCTGAAGAGCCAGAGAACAAGGCAACTCCAAAGACATCACAGCCTGAAGCCAAGAAACCAGAGTCACAGCCACCAGCTAGTGGATCTCCACCTGCACCTGTCTATGTCCCAGTTCCACTTGCTGTTAAGAAACCTGTAACTGACAGTGATGAGGAAGATGGCCTTCTGCTTCAGAAGTGCTCACCACACGATGACAGTCTTGATCCAGAACAATGTCCTCAGTTAACAGCTCTTCCTGAACAGGGAAAAAGTACACCTGAGCCTGATGCTGAAGCATTGCCAGTTCAGAACCCACCTTCTTCAGAGCCTTCTGCTCCTGAAGCTCCTGAAACTCCCACTCCAGTGAAGGCAGCAGAGGCTTCTCCTCAAACTGAGGGACCTGAGATTGTTGTTGTACCGAAGCCTGACGCTGACTATGGTTGGAAAGAAAATATAGTTCCAGTGAAAAGAGCCCCAGATTCTGTGCCTCCTCCAGTAGTAGAACAACCAGCTACTCCATTGATGAAAGAAGATGTTGAAAATTTGCAGCCTGTCCATAAAGTAGATGTCCCAATAACAGCAGATATTGAGGAGTTAGATGATCCCGTTGAGCCAGTGTTTGAGGTGAAAGATATATCAAGAGATTTAAAGGCATCACCACCCCCAAAGCCAGTCAGAGAGGAGAAACCAATTGAAGACCTGCCTCCTGCTGCAGCTGCAAAAAATGATGAGCCAGTTGAAACACCACAAGGGCTAAAGTCAAAAGAGATCCCTGTAGCAGTAACATCTCTTCCTGAAGACCCAGTAGAGTCATCTGATGATTCTGTTGAATACCCACCTGTTGTTTACTTAGAAACCCGTCAGCCAACACAAGATGCAAGACCTGCTTCTGAATGTAGCGGGTCATCAGAGGAGGCACTTCCACCTTACCCTGATTCAACTCCTGAAAAGGAAACAACAGCAAAGAATGGAAGGGAAAAGGCACAAGTGGAAGGCCCTGCAGCAGCAAAGGAGGAAGATGAAGGTTCAGAAAGAAAGACTAAACCAGAAGTAGTAGAATCCCCTATTATAACAAAAGCTCCACTTCAGACAGATCCAGGTCTTCCTTTGGCAATGCCTACAGCTGTCCCTACAAACAAACCTATGAATGATGCACCAGATGCCCCTCTAGAAGCTTATATACCTGACTTGAATGAAGAGTATGGTCTAGATCCTATGAATCCAGATGACAATTCCTTAGCTGTTATCAAGGAAGAGGGGAGTACATGTACTGAGTCTGAGACAGATAGCAGTGAACCTGAAGTAACAGAATATTCATTCTCTTCGGGACCAACAGCCCCAACTACCTCAGATATTCTTGCAGATGAAGTAAGCTGTTCTATGGAGCCAGAGGTGACCAAATATTCTGTTATTTCTGATGTAGAAGCAAGCATACCTCCAGAGGAATCGGAGAGCTCTGACACAGAAATGAGTGAGACCGAAACTGATTCAGTTGTGCTCTCCACGTCTGTGGACCCTGAGGAAAAAGCAAATGCATCCTTAGACCAAAAGCCTGGTAACCCAAAGCCATGCCAGAGTGAACCAGATTCCTCTACAAACGAAGTACTTACAACTCCAAATACTACACATCAAGGAGACAGTGTCCCAGTAACCCCCTCAGACTCTGTATGCACTCAGTTAGCAGACTCAACCAATGCTCCGTCTCATGTAAGTTTGTCCAGCACAGATGATTCAGAAGATGAATCTGAAGGAGCAGAGGCAGAGCTTGAACTGAGGGAGGAAGTTGTTGAAATACCAACAGCAACACAGAATGAACCTTCCGAGAGTGTGACAGCTTCTTCTTCTGACTTGCCAACTTCTTCATCAGTAGTAGAGGAAAGCTCAGCTCAAGTGACCAAGAACAAAAATCCTCCAGAGAGACTAAGAACAGAAGAAAAGAAAAATGGCACTTTTCAAAGCGTTCCCGATTCAACAGATAATGATTTTATGTCAACTCCATCATCATCACCTTGCAGTTCAGACTTGTCAGACGATGAAGTGACAACATCAACCCCAAAAAAGTCTAAAATTCCTAGATTAGTAAGCCACCAGGAATCATGAGAATGAAACTTTGTAAGTAACCAAGACATGTAGCTGTTGTCTTTATAATGTGATAGATTCATAATTAAGGCTGTGTTCAGGTGTGGAATCCCTATTTAGCTTTTTTTTCTCTTTTTTATATTGTATTTTTAAACTTTTGTTTTGGGATAATAATGGTTCACATAAGTTCCTAGGACTTTTAGGGTTTAAAGTTCAACATTTTTTGTGAAACATGTTTCATGGGTATCTAATTCATCAAAATTGGCATTAAATCAGTGAAAAAGAAGAGTACTGCTAGGAGTAATGGTTTAATGTCTTGTTCACCTGTCAAAATAGTATTGTAAAATGTTACAAAGATATCTACCTTTTATAAAAGATACACAAGTGACAAAACATGTGTCAGTCAAGCAAAACTATATTTTTTGAGAGTATCATTAGCAATTTAAAGAATGTCAGTTGAAATTCGGATTTGAAAGTGTGCCAAATTATAAACTAGATTTGATTTCCCACAAGGAAAAATCATGGAATTACCTATTGGCATGGTAAATCTGCTGTTGTTAATGGGTTCTTTGCCGTCTTTTTTTCAACTAGCTGTCGGGGATTGGCATCCCTTTAAAACCATCACGTTGTAGTGTTGGATGTTATGTCACAAGTTGTTTTAGAATCAGTGTTCTTGTAAGTGTTCAAACACTGTACTATACACTTTGTCAGTAGGCATATATAGAAAAGCAATGGAATGAGACAACATTCTGCCAAATGTTTATATAGTTGTATATTTATATATATATGAATGTTTAATGTTGCTTCAGAAATTGCAGAAAGTGGATCTGGTTTTAGGGGAAACGCTTTGTTGTATACTCTGAACAAAAAAGTAAGAGTAAATTTGATGCGATAAACTTGGGAAAAATTTAGATATCATATATGGTTGTATGTATTCATGTTTGTGAATGGGGGATCAAGCTTTTTGGTTCATGGAAATTGCCGTGCATAATAGTCTGTGTATTCTCCTTATACATATATATTTCCATTGATTGTAAGGGAGTGTATCACCACTGGATATATCTGGAGACTCATCAGGTACCTTTATATCTGGCCTTGAACTTACTGCCATTGCCATATTTGTAGCACATTCTTCCTTTATGGGTCATTTTTTATTTTATTTTTTTTTACAAAGTAGTCTGAACAGTTTAGTGTTTCAGTTTTGACAAGCAATCTTTCCTTACTGATATTAGAGAGTACAGATGCAAATAGACATTAAAATGATACTCAAGTTCAATGTAATGCAAGTTTTAATGTTAAGTAAAGAGGATATTTTGTACCTTTATGACAAATGTAGGCGGAGGTATGATTGAGAATTTCATGATGCGGCTAGGTATGTAATTTCTTTTAATATTATATTGTCATCAGGATTAATTTTTTGATATAGATGTACCAGTAATCTACATTTTGATATTACAGTACATACATGTTCTGCATTGTGGAATCTCATTTACACCTTCCTTTATGTATACTTGTCTTTAGTTTGTGTAAGAAGTGTAGATAAAAAAATGTCACTAGTGAAGAGTGAGCCAGTTTATGATGGCAGTTTCATTGATATTACAAGAATAATTTTTAGATATGCTATACAGGTACAGGACTAAGTTATTGAACCATCAGTATGGAGGAGGTACAGTTATTTGTATTGAAATCTTTTTATGCAACCACTGCAAATTATGATCATACAGGAATAGTATTTTTTTTCTTTTTTTTTATAGAATAAAATGGGAATATTCTATAAAACTTTGTAGATGAATATAAAACAGCAAGATACTTCATATGTACAGAAAATGTTCAGATGAGATATGTACAGAAATTTTGACAATGAGAACCAAAGCTACTATTTTTCTTTATTTTTTTTTTGTAGTAGTAGTAATAGTGATAGTAGGTCCTGTGCTAAGTAAGCATTCCAATGGTTAGTGGTGCCTATAAGTTTTTGAACAATGTGTTTAGGCATGATATATTCTTTTACACTAAATCTTTTCTTTTTCTTATTGTCCATATATATATAACCTAGTTAATTGTGCAATATACACACTCGTGCCTATTTTCTTGTCTTTTTCAAAGTGCCGAGACACCACCTCATTTATGCATTTGACTACAGTTAACAGTGGTAATGTTCCTGTACCTTCCTTTGCCGTCACCCTCCAGAGTTTTTATCTTTTTATACATATTACATGTAACATGCTATAACTGTCTTGTTTTGTATTGTTATATAAATATAGATGTAGTAACTGCTGTGTAGCAAGAATACATCCACTTAACTTGGGCAGGTGGTATTGTTAGGTTTTTCTTGGATAAAATAATTTTATAGATATTGCTTCATGCTTTTGTGCATTACTGTTTTGCTAAAGTGATAGCATTAGAAAAAACAACATAAAAAGAGAAATAGTGGAAGAAGAACAAAAAAGGTTATTTAAAATGTATAAATATCTAGCAAATGTCAGTTTTTATCCAGGAACAATTTCTACACCAACATATTTTATAATGTATAATCTGTGAATGTGAACAGTATTTTATGTAAGGGTAATTAGTTGGTTAGTGATTACAAGGCAAGTAAAAATTTATGTGGAAAAGTAGTATTGTTACAATGTCACATTCTGTTAGAGTTTAAATGCAAATGTATTAGAATATAGAGAAAAGATATTAATATGAACCATGTTAATGTTCACAAAGTGTGTTCACTGTTGATGCAAGAGGAAGGACCTTGCATGTGCCTACTAGATTTTGTAGATAATTTTACAAGCCGTAATCTTTAAGTTATTGTTATCAAAAATAGTTATATTATATGGCAATGTAAGAATCTTTGAAACCTCTGAGCATTGATGATGACAAATACTGATCTAAGAGTTGAAAAGGAAGCATTCATATTTCATATTGGACTGTTTACATTATTTTAGGTTTCTTGGCTAGTTTTAAGAATTATGTTTACCATGAAGGGGTTCTGACTTTATTATTTATACTTGTATTTATTTATATCCCTTTTCAAATGTTCATATTGATGTTATTCTATAGTTTTCATACATTTTTTCTATTTCTTTTATTTAGGGGGGAGGGAAAGGGATTGGGAAGGGAGTTACCCATGGAAATATGGTAACCTATTCATAGTGTTAGTTTTAAGGAATTATTTAATCTCTGTTTGAAAAGAAAAAAAAAGATTAACTCACCTTTGGGTTTACTTGTTCTTAGGATAATAAGAACGAATCACTTACATATTGTCATTTGATTTTATTAATTTATTTTTTTCTTGGTGAATGAAGTTAATATATTGTGTGTCTGTGTAGTTGAGAAGTAAATTAAGGCTGCCCAGTTTTCTTTAAGGCCGGGCTAAGGTGAACCAACCCCGGTGAAGTGGTCGTGCATGTCCAATAGCAGAGTCAGTGCTGATGAGGTCACTCTAGATAACCAAACAAGCATTTTTTTTTCTAATCGTTATTAAAATAAAATAAAGGTATTATTAGTTTTTCATTCAAATTGTACAATGAATGGACTTAATGCTTGTTGTAGCAAAAACAAATTACCCATCTGAAAGGTAGTTTTTATTATTATTATTATTCATGCTTTTATGGTATTTAGATGTGTCATTAAGGCAAAATATTCTCTTAAAATTGGACGAGTATGGCTAGACAATGCTGAAACCTTTCTGCCAACACTGTCGGATATTTATTTTGCCCTCTATCCGATAGTGACAGATGGGGAAAAAAGGCTGAAGTAGGATTAAGTTTTTTATGTTATTTGTGCATTGTTCGCTTTCTTTAATTCACAAAATCTTTTTGAATGGACTGCTTACCTAGTTATTATTAGTAAGAGTAGTGGCATGAAGACTGTTGTAGCCACAACTTGACCTATATTTTCCGTCTATGTATTTTTTTGTTTTCTTTCTCCCTTAATTTAATCCTTTTTCTTTGTATTCTACATAATCTTTCATATGATTGTTATGGTCATTCTTATTACTTGTAGATTGTCCATATGAAATTGAAGTTGCTTCCAGACTGATGGTAATAAACAGTACATTAGTTAACATTAACCAGATACAAACAATAAAAATGCTTGCTGTATATTCAAATAAAAATGTATATTGAATTAATGTTTTATTTATCACTGTTTTCATAACCCATTCACACCGGGATTACAATTGTTTGGTCCTGTTAGCATTTGTTGAGAAATGGCTCAAAACTTGCAATAACTTAAAAGCTGCACTGCAATCCTGAATGAGGAAAGTTAACAAATTGAAGACAGAGGTCAGCATCCCCTTATCATAAGGGTGCATGTTGAAGCAAGTCAGTAAACGGTTTCCCATAAAAGAATGTTATTTCAATATTTTTCATTATGATTATAATGAAATAATCAACTTATCTACAGCAGCATAAAATGGCATTATCAGTCTTTCAAATCTAATCATCTACATGAAAAATATGTATATAAATAAAACTATAAATAAATCGAGAAAATCTTCAAAATGAAATGACAATATACTCTAGTTGAAATGTTAATATGCTATTGTTAACTGTATCTCAAGACAGTTTTTTAAGTTAGAAGTGAACTTCAAAAGAGAAGTCATGGGTTATCATAATGGAAGAAAACTTTCCAGCAATGGCCAGTATCATAAGAAGTAACTGTTAATATATGATTTCTACAAATTCAGTCAAACTGGCTAACTCTAAGCAGAAATCTATACTTATCTGCTGCTGAATTGTCATATATATGCCTTGCCTGCCCTTGTGTTGGTTGGTGACAGGCCAATATCAAACTGCAAGACCAGTCAATAATAAAAAAATAAAAAAAATTGCGGAAAATGGTCCAATATATTACAGTTGTATGGATATAGTCTAGTTCTTAGAAAAGAATATCATACTAGCAACCACGGAAAATGCTCTTTGTGAAAAAGAAAGTAGTGCCAGGAAAAAAATCAATATTCTACTTTAGACTGGGCAAAATATGGAATTCAAGAAAATAACCAAAACCAATATTTTTTTTTCTTCAAATTTATAATAGAAACTTAATCAACAAATTAATATAATCTGAGAAGTACTGTTAAAGACAACCACTCCTAAAAATCCACCATCACATGAGTGAGGCCTAATTTGAATCTTGAGAACTGCTACCTCGCATTTGAGCTCATAGGTAGGGCAGCTCCTATAAAATACATTATGGGAGCCACCACGATTGGTACATGTACATGACTGACCAGGTTGGGCACAGAGGGCAGTGAGCTACCATACTATCTACTAAGAAGTGAGTGACAGTGTTTGGTTAGGTGGCCAAAATGCCAACATTTCTGACATTGTTGAGGAAGGGGTCGATATGATCAGACAGTGCAGGACACCACCAATATAAACTTAGTGGTGGAGGTTATGTCTACAGAAGCTTATCTTTGCAATATTTGTATAAGAATTGTGCTGTCCTCTTGAGAGGAATACTGTAGTACTGTACTGCCACTGCATCATAGGCAACAGGGCAGGCAAATCATTTTCACAGTCTGACCAGTTTTTGTAGTACACAGGACAGTCAGTCTGAGAAACGGAAACAGTTCTGGTACAAGTATTCTGAGAGGAGTGAGGTTCAGCAGAAATAGGTTTGACAGCAAGGTCAGTCAGGGCATATAGTGCACAAGCTTGGGACTCAGATGTAACTGTGACAAGGCATGAACGATCAGATTGACTGTGAAAAGAAATTTAGCTTACTTGTTTTCGGTAACCTTGTTGGAAGAGAAGGGTATTTTCAGTGTAAGGGGCTGTAGGGGGAATCACAAAGAATCTATCCCATTTGGCTGGGCCAAGAGATTACAGAGGGTCTTCCACTTACAACAGAGATCCATTCCTACAATGGCGCTGTAGCCTGAATTTTCACAAGTCAGAACGCACCTAAATACAGTATATGTACCTATGTACATAAGCACCAAAATAGTATACAGTATACGTGTATTAAATCCATAATCTAAAACATAAGACACTTCTATGACGTACATGAAAACATAACTAGGGCTAAAGGAACACATGTAAATACTGTACATGATTTCTGGTGTTGTATCCACGAAACGTTGTCAAGACCGTCGTAAACCAAAGACCCTCTGTACTCAAAAGGTTTGTAGGAGTAGAAACAGTATAAATGATGGGGTGGTGTGCGGGTGATGTGTGGTATGTGTTAGGTGACTCTCTCGCGAGGAGCGCGAGATCGCCAAGTGGCCGAGAGATGTTGAGGCAGAATGAGGAAGTGGGTGCTTTCCTGAATTGTGGATCAGTGTCGTAATATACCGTAGGTTGTGGGTGGTTCTTGGCACCTATGATCGAGAGTTTTGATGTCAAGATAGAACTGGAGTAGTACGTCGTGGGTTCACTAAAACAAAACAATGATAAAGTTGCAGAATATGATATGTGGTACTTGATGAGCTGCGGGCAGCCTTAATGTCCCTAATAGAGCAATATGTATCATATCATTATGGAAACGGTCTTAGTTGGAGCTTCAGATAATGGAACATAATAGATATGTCTACCCTTAACAGTGGGCATTGTTCTGAAGATATGTGGTGTCCCTGCTTTAAAAGTGACGATTGCTTGTGAATTAAGAGCATAAGTAAGATTACGCTAAAGGAATTTGACAAGATGTGTCCTTCATGGCTCCTCATGTAGTAGTCGCCATTCAGGCAAGTGATTTACAGACAGTCAAGGAGCCCTTTAGCCCCTAATTTACCTATTCAACTTCTAGAAGTTCAGCTGACTTAAAGACCATCTTGTACCACACCCACCAATCGTAAATAATTTGTTGGGATATGTAAGCTATGTCGCCATGGGACGGATCGATATGTATGATGCTTTTGCTTATACCAAATACTATGACACATTCAGTAAAAATGATACAATAAAGAACTTACTCTTTGGTGTTTTGAGAAACCCGCGTCATCTGACAGCCCAACTGGACGCCCGGATAAAAAGATAATCAACTGGAAATAAGCGTGCCCCAAATGCGTGGTAAAACTGGCCCGGCCCTGCCTGTGAAACCTCTTGATCACCAAGTTTCAGCATACTAAATATGTATAAAATGTGCGTGAATTATATGTACAATACATAAGTTGATCTCTAGAGGGATCCGCATAGCACATATGATTAAGCGCAAATAATGTATGCCATAGTGAAAGTGATATGGAAAGAGAGTGCGCAATCGGGAGAGTGCTAAATTTTATAGTGGAAAGTCATGAGCCCATTCTCAAAAGCAAGCTACATATAAAGTGAGTGAAAAAGGGTTAAGGGGGGTAGGGAAATGACGTTGGGTAATTGCAAGGCAGTGTTCTATTCAGCAATCAAATTACGAAGGGCCACTCTCCAGACGTCGAGTACATTGTGGAGGCCAAGACACTATTAAGGCAGGAACATTAGTAGAACAAACCTAAGGTGTTCTATTAGTCGTTACCTAAAATCAGGTTATCCCGAATAGAGCATGATTGCACTTTTCTCAGGGTTCCGCAGTTCAAGCCTGGACTAGTCATCTACACGCGATAGTCGCTTCAAAGAAGGTATTGTCGTCCAGTTCAGTGCTCCCCCCAGCTTCTCCCTTCCTATCACATCGCTGGGATTGTATTACGCCACGCTACCAGGTTCACTTACGTTGTCACGCAGTGGCAAGAATCCGCTAAAAAGCGGTTCAATACTTCCCTTGTCCTCCTACCACAGTAACCAGCTCATTACACCCGTGCTCATGTTTGGCGTGGGTGGGTTATTCTATGCGTTCTACCCTTCTCCAGCCTTCCCATAAGGAGAGAGACCTGTGTGTTGTTCACTGAGGGACCCTTCACGACGTCACCCAAAACTGCCTCGCTTCTCAGGAAAGATCGGAGTGTGGAATAGGACCTTCGCATAATAAATCTTACCGCAAACCAGTTACTCTGCAAGGGACCACTCTGTTTACGCTTGATCCCCGATTTCCTACCGACCAACTCCAGTCACAGAAATACATTACTTATGCGATTCCATTTGCACGTTGCCCCCGCCTTTAAAGCGCGCCCATTTCCGCGTTTTAATGATTATTCTGCGTTTACAATATTTGAGCTTCCCCCTCTTTACCCATTTTCGCGCAGTTAGCTCCATGGTTATACCTGAGTTAATCATGCTCAGAATCTTTTGGACATCTAACACATTTCATCAGTTAATCTCTATGAAAATTTTGCATTCTTAGGCACTTATATACGGACAATCTTGTTGACTCGATTAGTTCTGTAGTGAGCTATTTGTAATGTGATTGCTCGCTTAGTCAGACAGATTTGGTGGATGGTATATGTTCATGGGTGTTTATTCTCAAATGTTGAAGTATATAAGCTTGGCGTCTGAGTAGGGCTTTTGTATAGATTGTCAAATAATAATCTTGTACTTTGTTTGAAGAAGAGATAGAGAGTGTTTAGCCGAGACAGGACTCAGCTCGTTATTCTGAACTACGTGAAGTAGCAACTGCCAATCTTTGCTTATAAAAGATTAATGATCATGGACTCATTAAGATTTGTGTGGATGCGAAAGGAAACAAAAGACCTCTTCCTCCTCACCCAGTTTCCTATGCGTTTAACCTTTATCGGTGAATGGTCGACTGTATGCCGCATATGGCCTCCACATAGTGGTGAATAGTGGGTTGAGGTCCTATTGTTGGGTATCGATTGTAAATCATGAGAACTCCTAAGGTTTAAACAGTATAACACCCATCACTAAAATTTCACAGAGGCCCTTAATTTACCTAGGGTAATCAATAGAAGAAAGTTAGGCACAAGGCAGTAAGTAAGGGCATTTCTGCAGCTCTGAGCCAGCTTCTTCTTGTTGCTAAGATAGAACCCTAAGCAACAAATTTTCTTGTTTGTGGACTTTAGATTATCAGGTTTCTGTTGAACAAAAGATATATTTATAAAAGAGAGAGGTGCTGTGAGTGTTTCTGGCAGGAGATGTGGATTTGCCGATTACGGCTGTGATCTGGAAGAAATATATTGGCTAACTTTGGCCTGCTTGTTTTAGGATAGGCACTGTTTTGAAAAAGATGAAGGTGCGTATCTCAGAGTAGGTAGTAAGTCTCTAAGCGAATGGGTAAGATGATATTTTTATCTAAATATGTAATCTGTTGATCCGACTACTATATGCTCTAGGAAAACGTGGTTATAACAGTGAAGCCACTGTCAAAAAATTAGTGTTCTTCAATCGCGAGCATATTGGCGATCTTGATTCGAGGTGGTGTCGGAAGGGTGCCTAGGCAGCATGTACTTTCTCCCCTCCTAAGTGTGTTGTCGACCCTTACTCATTTTCAAGTTCCAGCGGACGAAAGGGTTTGGCTTAGAGAGACGCAGAGGGTGATGCTGTTATGGTTCGGATCGGAGTTCTATGCCCTTGGTCGGTTCACTAGTCAGCGATTTTTTGGTAACCCGATGTACACAAAAAGCAGCTGCAAGCCCTTAAGTGGAGTTTGTTAAAGTTTTTGGTGCTGTCTTACATGCTGCATGAACACAGGAGGTTTTAGGGAGGTCAGTATGGGTTCAAAGGGATTCCAACAATCAAGAATCTTGGCCTAGATAAGAGAGAAAGCAGGTGGTATAGGTGGTTGAAGTTCGTGTGCAAAAGTTGAGTGTTCTCAGTTTGCACACGCGGCCGGACAAGGGCATTGTTGTATGTTGCAATGAGGGCTGTTAGAGAAAGGTAAATGCACAACTATCAGGAAAGAAGGAGTGGTGGGTGGTGGGTGCGGCGGTCGGTTGGCTGCAGCGAGTGGCCAAAGCCCAGATGATGTCATTGAGCTCACAGATTCAAACTTTGAAAAGCTGGTTGTCTTAAAATCTGATGGATTTCTGGCTGGTAGAATTCTTTGCCCATCGGTGTGGACATTGCAAGAACTCTGCACCTTCATGGCAGGAGAAAGTGCCACAGAGCTGAAGGGTAGAGATTTAAGATGGAGCCTTAGATGCCACTGTTCACCTGTTCATGGCCAGTCGTATGCGTGTACAGGGTTATCCACTATTCCAAGTACCTTCAATTAAAGGAGACGGTTTTGGAGTTATTGATGGTGGGCCACTGCTTCAGACATTTGTTGCCTGGCTGATGACAGAGCTGCGCGATTTACCCCAGAAGTAGTACAATCCACAGAACAATTGCCGTCCTGACCATCGCTTTGTAAAGAGGGAATCCCCAATCTGTACATTACCAGTTCTGCCAGCACCATTCTTGCACTAAGCCAGGTAGCAAGAATGCCGCCAACAACTACATTTGAGATTCTTTGATGCAGATACTTAGGTAGTGAAATCAAAGGTGGACATAGAGATCAGGGAAGATGTGGGGATGTAGCCGATCTGGATTGTTGGAAAGAAGCAAAACTATGGCGCTCCAGCCCTGAAGGAGTTGTAATGCTGAAGCTCCTGGATAGGGAGATATGGAGTGGATTGGTGATTGGATACCCTGGCATCGTGCAGGCTGACTCAAAGTGCGCAAAGAAATTGCAATACACACATTTTTGCCGCTCCTGAAAAGGGGTGCTCCCAGTGGAGTGAGCGCGGATTATGCTGAGTTTTTTGCGAGAAGCATTTGACAATATGGCAGAGGAGCGATACGCAAGCAGCGCACTGACCAATGACTGGAGGAGCTGAACTGCAAGCCATACAGCGGAGTTTGAGCGCTTTGGACGGTCAGGATGGGGTTGCCTGAGTGGAAGAAGACATTGAGTTTTATTTCTGATGTTGATGACCTTTTGACTGATTTTCTTGAATAGATTCAATAGAGTCATAGGTCGAGCTGTAAGACTATCAGATTACTTTACGGTGCTTAGTACACTTGTAAAACCAGTGCTAAAATACACAATTTTTACCATTGATGAATAGAGTGATGGGTAAAAGGCATGACTCTCGATAAATAGCGAAGGAAAATTCGGTATGTAAAAGAATTCTTCCAATCTTAATTGCTCGTCTGCTTGCAAAGTAAGTTGGAATGTCCCTCTGGACACATTGACTAATCTTCCAGTATTGTAAATAAGTCAGGCACCGTAGTGTTAAAGAAGTAGAGCCTCTCTCTAGGCTCTGCTTACTCACAGTTTGGGCTCCAATAAAGTTAATCGGCGCGACTCCCGCCTCTACAATAGTTCAAAGAGAGTACATGAGAGTAGTGTCGAAAAGTAGCATCCCAGAGATCATTACCTAGAGCGACTTATAATACTTCACTGATCTACATACATCTGAGCATTCTCTTTTGTTGTATGTGTTCTACGCGCTCATCTTCCTTTGTAACATCAGTGTGGGAAGTTCAAGCTGCTTATTGAGTGGTATCAGTACCTTATAGTTCTACTTCCAAGTGAACTTTGACCAATAGGAAATTTACAATCCTTTTTTCACGGTTTTCCTTAGTATCTCTGCTAGTGCTCTTCAAACAAGCTCTCCTGGCTGTAGTTGGCCAATTAGTGACTAAGTACAGTAGAAAAAGAGAGTGAAAAGTTTAAATTTTTCAATCTGTGTTGCCATAAGAAAAGATTTGTTAAAAGTACTTGATAGCAGAAATAACACGATGGTTGAATGAGAATGCGCGCAGTCTTTTATTCATTCGCCTGAGTTATTAATATGAGTTTAGTCTATTAAATGACTCACTAAAAAAATAGGTAGAGTGATTACTAGGAGATAAGGAACATAGGGAACACACGTTGTCTTGCCATATATTCACAAAAGGAAAATGCATTTAAAAACCATTGTATATTGTGTGTTTGATCTCTCTCTCACTAAACCTTGTATTTTTAATTTGTTGCTCTCCCTCGTCATCCCTGGTACACTCAATTTCATTGAGTAACAAATTTCCCTAACCCTCAGTAGAATGGGTTGCAGGCCAATATGTTTTGAGTACATCTAGCGAAAGCCTAGACAATTGACAAAAAACAAACAGTTAAGATTTGATTGCTCGCAGAGTGTCACATAATGGTGATAATTGGATTCCATAATTAATTGGGTGACTGGAACTTGATATGGCTTGGTTGAGTGTGAGTAGGACAAATAACATGAAATAGAGGGCTCAACATCGCGGTAAGGAAATATTGCTATGTACTCATGTTGGGGCCAAGATCACAAGGCATAGACTGCGCTTATAGTTTGACCTGGATTATTTCACAGGCTCTCATCGGTGACGGTATTACATTTTAGTGTTTGTCTACATTTGGGGCGCCTTGTTTCCTATTATTTTCCCATCTCCTTACGAGCCCCTTCAGTGACAAGTTGGTACATACAATGTGGTGACCATAGCATTAGTATATCGCTCCGGATCTTGGGGGTGGGTGGTGTGAGTCGCAGATAAGCCACTCTATAGATATAATGCAATATGAAGCGAATTCGGTAATACTGTCTTGTTCGGTAGTTCATTTATTAGAATAAGATTCATAATCTCACGTAGATTCCCTATTAATGGGCAGTTCTCTCTTTTCTCATTAATTTATTTAAATTTATGCGAGTGTGCGTTTCTCCTCCTCTTCATGGTTTGCCTGGCATAAATGGCAGATTTTGTTGGCTTCCATGGCCACCATTGGTTGAGGTTCTTAACGCTTGATCATTAATATCTAGGTGACATGCCCAGAACTCAAAAACTAATACACTGCACCTGTAGTTTTCGCCTATGCTTCTATAAGTTCATGAATCTCGTACAAAGTCAGTTTCTCGGAAGACCCATAGATTAGCAGACTAATATAGGCCAATACTAACTTCTGTTAACTGATTCCCATCGACGTATTACATCTTGAGAATAAAGTTAAGTAAATCCTAATATATGAATGATGTAGGTATAGCTGAAATGATCTCTATAATATACTGGACAGTTAAATATATGTGGGATAATAATAATAATGTCCGGCAATATACAATAATCAAAATGTGTAAATTTCCCTTGGTTATCTGATAGATATACTAGTGTAATGGCAGGGTTTATTGTCAAAGGTAATTTGTTGCTAGGTGATTAATAATGCGGATGATTCATTAATTCTACACCTTAATTAACTATAGGCTTCTAGTGGCGTCACTTGATTTTTATGTTCCATGTACTATTTGGCATAATTGATGAATTTACATACCTGATGATCTTTTGAGAATATAAAGCTATTCTTATACAAATTTTTTGCAAATAAGTGAGGCCAATACGAAGCCATAGTTAGTTATTCAATTCATAAATGATGCATCCCAATTTTAACCTTTATAACTTTGATTTGTAAGATTCATTTTATTAATCTCAAAATGTACTCAATACCTAACAAATCATCCTGAAGTTAGTAAAAAGGGGAATAGATATATTATTGAAAAAGAATATAATATACACATCAAAAATTTGACAATAAACTGCATTAACACTAGTATACATCAGAAGCAAGGAAATTAACACATGGAGAAATAAAACACAATGTAGGAAATGCTAAATACTCTAAATATTTTAAAGATTACAACAAAGATGTAATATCGAATTTTAACAATAACCACCAATGGCTGAAATCATCCAGAGAAATATGCCTGTTCTGGTGCAGTCCTCAGATAATGACAACTACCCAACTACTCCCTAAAAATCACTGATTTAATCTTTCTTATTGACCCAACAGACAGTCATGTCGGGCACCTCTTCTTGCTTCTATGAGGCTTTTGACATAACGTGGACAATACAAGTGTCCCCACATTATATGTACAGCGATAGAAAGGCCCAGCAAACACTAAAGTATGTGGAGAGGGATGTCCAGGTCAAACAAGAAGCATTATCTTGTGATTTGGCCACAGGTACAAGCATTCCACTGGTTAGCCATCAGTTTTGTCCAAACAACAAGAATAAGCAAGTACCCAATTACATTGGAAGGCATATAATTATGTGAACTGACAACTTAATTTTGTCAATTTCAAAGCTTCTTTCAAGAATGATCAAACTCCCATACCTGCCACCATTACTGTTAGGAAATTTGTTACTCTCAATGAAATTAGGAGAATTACAGAAACAAAAATTAAAATGGTTTACAGTTACAAAGCAAAATAAATGGTTTTAAATGCATTTTCTTTTGATTACAAAAGTGGTCCTTTTACCTTAGTAATCTACTTTTTTTAGATCATGAATAACTAACTATATAAAAGGAATGAATAAAAGACTGTATTCTACAAAATGTGTTATTTTCAAGTTTCCTTTTAACATTTCAGCAGACAGTTGAAAATTTACTTTTCATTTTTCACGACTAGTAATATGCCCAACCCAGGAAGCTTTTATACAGCAAAAAGAAACCTGAAAAAAGTGTAATTTCCTATGTCAAATTACATGATAAAAAATACTAAACTCAGCAGCTTGAACTTCCCAATGTTACAATGAAGATGGTGTACACAGTACAATAAAAATTATGATATTAATGTGAAATATAAGTTTGTAAAATTGGGATATTCAAACCTGTATTTGAACTTGTAAGGCTTATTCCATTCTTTATGGGCAAATGTTAGCAGAGCCTAAGAAGCACTTTTAAAAGGCCTGACTTTGTCCAAACTGAAGAATAGCTCATGTGTCACAGCATTCCATTCTCAACATGAGAAATTAGGAGAAATTACAACTTTTCCTTTGCTTCCTTTTACCACACTTTCAATGTAAAGTTTTTACTTTTCAAGTAAAGTAAAATAATGATAGTCTTACAGCTCGACATGACCTTGATCATCAAAATCATCAAGATCAACATCAGATAAATCAATGTCTTCTTCCTCAGGCAAAACCCCATCCTGACCGTCCCAAGCCTCAACTCCCTGTATGGCTGGCAGTTCAGCTCCTCGCACAGGCGCTGTGCGTCCTCTGCCATATGAAATGTCTCGCAAGAACTCATTAATGCCGCTCTCACTGAAGGACCCCTTCAGGAGGGCAAATTGCATCTTCTTTGCATTGAGAGCTGCAAGAGCAGGGTATCCAAATCCACCAATATCCAGAGCTTGTTCAAGCTCAGGCTGGGCCATTGCTTCACTCCAGACCCATCCCCACATCTTCTGTTTGTATTTGTCACCAAGTCTGCTCAGAATCTCAATGTAGTTGTTGCGGCATTTGCTCTGGCAGTCAAGAATGTGTGGGAGAACTGTAATGATACAGATGGGATGCTCTTTACAAGCCGATGTCAGGACGGAATTGTCTGTGATCTGTACTACTTCTGGGGGAGGTAAATTCGCAGCAGCTCTGTCATCAGCCCAGGCAACAATGTCTGAAGCAGTGCGCCCACCATCATAATCTCCAACGTCTCCTTTATTGAAGTACTTGATAGTGGGATAACCCTGTACACCATAACGACTGGCCATAACAGTGTGAACAGTGGCATCTAAGGCTCCCATCTTAATCTTACCCTTCAGCTCTGTGGCAGCTTTCTGCCAGTGAGGTGCAAGGTTCTTGCAATGTCCACACCATGGGGCAAAGAATTCTACCAGCCAGAAATCATCAGATTTAAGAACCAGCTTTTCAAAGTTTGAATCTGTGAGCTCAATGACATCATCTGGGCTTCCACTGCTGCCACCACCACCGCCGCCACCACCGCCACCACTCTTCTTTCCTGATAGTTGTGCATTTACCTTTTCTCTAACAGCCCTCATTGCAACATCAACAATGCCTTGTGCCGTTCTCTGTCCATTGAAATCTTCTGGTTTCTTCTTATCTAGGCCAAAGATCTTGATTGTTGGGAATCCTTGAACCCCATACTGACCTCCTAAACTCCTGTGTTCATCAGCATTAACAGCACCAACTTTAACAACTCCACTTAAGGCTTGAGCTGCTTTTGTGTACTCGGGTACCAATCGCTGACAGTGACCGCACCAAGGGGCATAGAACTCGACGATCCAAACAGCATCACCGTTCAGAACCTCTCGCTGGAAGTTGGATGGAGTAAGGTCGACAACACCACTAGAGGGAGAGTACATTGCTGTGGCACTCCCACCCACCATGAGGATGCATATTGCTGTTGAAGAATAATTTCCAGTTTAGAACATGTTTTATTAATATTTCAAAGAAAAAATATATACTTCTAACAATATAGATACAAATAAAAATCTGTACATTTCAAACACCAAAGCAAAAAATGAATAATTCAATGGTGGTAGTGAAAAGCCTTGAGCGAGCTGTGCCTAAACTTTCTATTATTGCCTGAATTAGGCTGGATATTTGTGTACTTTAATGTCTTAAGTAAGTCAAAACCATCAACATGTGGCATACAGTCGCATTCACATAATGTTAACAAGATGGTGAAACATTTGTTTTTGTACATTAATGTCACATTTACTTACATGGTCACTAGAGTAGAATAAGTGAGCTGGTAAAATTTTAAAAAATCAAAATTATTTTCAACTAACCTAACAAAGCCTACAGAGACTAATCAACATTTGAAAAAATATACATATAAATGGTTGAAACAAATACATCAAAAGTCATACAGAACTATGATAAAGTATTGTGGTAAAAAGGGTAAAGAAGAGTTAAAGATTAGGATGAAATGTGTTAGATGTCAAAGATTTGAGTGTTAAAGGATAGTATGGTAGTGAAAAGGGTAAAGAGGGGGAGCAAATGTTGTAAAGCAGATATCATTAAAAGAGGAAAGGCTTAAGGGGGCAAGGCAATGGAATGTATCTGTGACTGGGGAAGGAATAGGGATGAGGAAACAGAGTGGTCCCTTGGGTAATCTTTGGGAAGTTTTGGAGGTCTTCACAAGTTTCTGAAGGGGAGTTGGGTGAGGAGGTCTGTGAAACAAAGGCTGTCTTATGAGGAGAAGGGGGGATAGATATCCCAGGAACAGAGCAGGGTGTACGAGTGGATGTGGTAGGAGATGGAATAGAACGTTTAGGTTGCCTGGTGTGACAAGTAGAGTGAGGAGGGGAATCAGGGATGTGATAGAGGGAAGAGATGCTGGGGGAGATGCTGAGACATCTTGAGAGGATGGGAGAGCAGAGTGATGGACAGTTTTGGAATAGTAGGAAGAAAAACCTTGTCACCATGCTTCCTGTCTGGCCTCATGTAGAGTGAGGCCTTGTTTGAATCTGAGAACTGCTACCTCACATTTGAGTTTTTAGGAAGGGCAGCTCCTATAAAATACATCATGGAAGCTACCACAATTGGCACATGTATGGGACTTAGCAGAGGTATTTGCACAATGAGGAATGTGACCAGGTTAGGGCAGCGGGCAGTAGAGCGACAGTGTTTGGCTGGGTGGCCAAAACACCAAAATTTCTGACATTAACAAGGAAGGGGTTGATATGGTCAGACAAGGCAGGACAATCCACCCACAAATTTCATGGGTGGGTCATGTCTTACACTGGCCTCTGAGAGGAATAGTGTAGCACTGTACTGCCCCTGAATCAAGAAGGTAATTTTCACAGTCTGACCTGTAATTGTCATAGATAGGATAATCAGTCAGGAGAGGCACAAACAGTTACAGTACGAGTATTAAAAGAGGTTTGGCAGGAAGTTTTGCCAGTGAGGTCAGTCTGGGTAGAGCTTGGGACTCAGGTGCAGATGTAACTGTGACAAGGTGTGAACAATCCGAGTGACTGAAAAAAAGAAACCTTGCCTACTTGTTTTTGGAAACATTGTTGGAAGAGTATTTTCAGAGTAAGGGGAATCTGAATGAATCAATCCCACTCGGCTGGGCCAGAGAGTACTCAAACGTAGAGGTGGAAGCAGCAGAAGGACAGAGGCAGGAGGAGGATGGGGTGGTGTGGGGTGAGGTAGTATGCAGGTGGAGGATAACAAGAATGAAGAATAAGAATAAGGGGGTAGAGGTCGGACAATGAAGAAGACTGTGCAGTAGGAAATGGAGTGGAAAATGTCCTTCAAAACAATGACAATTTTTAAAATTACAATGGCTGTGTTCCATCTTAATCCATTAGTAATTTGTGAACTGTGATGGATAAATCAAATCCAGTAACAGTGCAATGTCAAGCAATTACTCCAGCACCTCCGCCTGTTAGCACTGCAGTTTAACGAACCTACAAACTATATATTCTCGCAAGATAGAGTTAGGTTCCCTCTGACTAAATTAAATAGTTTGGTTCAGTTGCACACAGCCATATGGTACAAGGTTAGATCTGCTTGTAATGAACAGAACAACAAAATTTGGTATTTTTTAAGTTTCAGACAGCCATTCAACCTTGTAACTGATATTCTTTCAGTGTAATAAATATGAATCTCTGTTTTCACTGCAAATGACTGGTTCAGAAAATAAATTAAAATACTGGCTTTTGCTCATTGTTGGCTGGAGTAGTAGGGGGCAATTGTGGGAATCTACAGACTACAAATTCTTATTTGAATAGCAATTTATGTGAATTCCTAGGAGTGCTTCATCAAGCTGTTGGCTAGATTTTAACTAACTTTGGTCTTTTAACGGTAATCATGAGGCTCCTACAGCTTAAACTATTTCATATCCAACTCTATTTCTTCCGCTCTATAATATGGCAGTGTCCATTTCCCTCCATCTACATGCATCAGTCTCTCTCACTTGTACCGGAATTATGCCATGGAACCCCCTAAAACCCCCACATTCTTCGTCTTAAGAGCAGTGAAGGGCATCAAAGGTAACTGGGAAATACTGATGAATACTAACAATACTGAATGCAAGGGGTTGTGCCCCTTGTAACCCCCCCACGAGAGACTACCACCCAACCCCCTCCCAGGGAAACAAAGAATCCTCCACATATGTATGGCAGGTGAGAAAATCTGTCAGACTCAGCAGTGGCTGTTCCCATATGCCAGTTGTACCCTTTACCCTGCTGTAAATACATAGGCATAACACTAGCCTTACATTTAACCCTGTAATTTCCCTGGTACTTTTCATTCCCTCACCTGCTATCGGGGCCAAGACTGTTACTAATAGGGGGGTTTCCGCAGAATAATTTTGATATATTTGGATAATAGACAGAGGAATACTTCCATAAAAATAAGATTGGTTATGCAGAGGTATTCTAAAAAATTATCCAGATGATTCATATTATACCATGAATAATTGCAAGGCTAGAAGGCTGTAGGAAATGACAATCACAGTTGCAGATTACTGCCACCATTGTCAACATATTGGGTCACCAAGGCCTATAACTACCACACTTTGGACAGTAGACAATGAACAGTTAATCTACATGCTCTAGCAAATATTTTTGCGAGAATTATACTGTAGTAAACAACCCCTGAAATAAGTTTTGAGACATCCTCTTCAAACAATGGTTTCCCTAAGTTCCATGTTATATATTGAAAATATAATACACTCTCTAAAAGAAGTATGGCTTTACAATTCTACCGAATATGGGATATCCATTGAAATATCAATGAGGAAGATGTCACATGAAAATAAATATTGACGTTTCTAGGTAACATTCACCATAGATACTGAATAAGGGCATTGAACCAGACATCCAAACACGAATATGTAATACATAACAAGCCACAAAAGGCATACTCACCGACTAATAATCTCATCCTGCCTGCTTTTGGGTCACCAGAGACTGGAAATTGTGCTTTGGAAGGCCAGATTTGGAGAAGTGGAGAGGTTTGAAGGAACGTCTTCTTACTTTCGTCTCTCGTTCCCTTCTGCCACTTCGCGTAAACAAACCGGGATTGCGTTCGTATGCGTGGCCCGTCACTCGTTCGATTTTTTATAACAAGTCTTTTATTTTTAATTTTGGCTTTTCATTCACTTTTATACTCTAAATGAGTGCTAAATTAATTACTCATTCGATTGTAGTTTAATGTAAGTTGAAGTATTGCCCTGGTCTTAGAACGAAATAGGGAGTAAAGTTGATTTTTAAAAGGTTTCGAATTCAGACGCGGGTCGTGGAGAAAGGCTATTGGTCCAAGTGTTACTATTCACCGGGCGCCAAGTTTGAATACGTTTTAATGAATGGAAAGTGATTGCGTGGGACAAAAACTGAATATGATTATGAAACGAGCCACATGCTGATAGTGCAGAGAGAATGTATTTTCATATTAAATCATTATAATATGCATGCTTTAACAAAGATGTGCAATATATACGAAACACCGATGTTTCACATCCGCCTAACAGCTTGAGAAATGAGTGGCAGAACATTGTAGAATGTGTTAATGCAGTGATAGAAAAAATCCAGTATACACAGAAAAGGTCGATCGAAAATTTATTTAGTATATGCCAACATATATACATACATATATACATACATATATACACACACGCAAGCATGCATACACACATACACACACACACATAAACACACGCACACACACACACACACACACACACACAAACACACACACACACACACACACACCACACACACACACACACACACACACACACACACACACACACACACACACACACACACACACACACACACACACACACACACACACACACACACACACACACACACACACACACACACACACACACACACACACACACACACACATACACATATTTATATGTAGGTATACATATATATGTATCTATAGGTGTATATATATATATAACATACATGTGCGTGTGTTCGTGCGTGTGCGTGCGTGCGTGGTGTGTGTGTGTGTGTGTGTGTGTGTGTGTGTGTGTGTGTGTGTGTGTGTGTGTGTGTGTGTGTGTGTGTGTGTGTGTGTGTGTGTGTGTGTGTGTGTGTGTGTGTGTGTGTGTCTGTGTGTGTGTGTGTGCGTGTTGCGTGTGTGCGTGTGTGTGTGTACGTGTGTACACGCACACACGCATACACACAGCGCGCTCGCGCGCATATATGTATACAAATGTATGTATATATGTATATACATGAACATATATATATATGCATATATATATATATATATATATATATGTATATATATGTATATATATATATATATATATATATATATATATATATGTGTGTGTATATGAATATATATATATATGTATATATGTATATATATACATATAAATATATATATATATATATATATATATATATATATATATATATATATATATGTGTGTGTTGTGTGTGTGTGTGTGTGTGTGTGTGTGTGTGTGTGTGTGTGTGTGTGTGTGTGTGTGTGTGTGTACTTATATGCATGTTTATATGTATATACATATATATAATATATATATATATATATATATATATATATATATATATATATACATACACACACACGCACACACACACATAGGCATATATATATACACATATAATATATAATATATATATATATATATACATGTATACACACACACACACACACACACACACACACACACACACACACACACACACACACACACACAACACACATATATTATATATATATATATATATATATATATATATATTATAGAGAAGAGAGAGAGAGAGAGAGAGAGAGAGAGAGAGAGAGAGATAGTTATATAGATAGATAGATAGATATACACTTAGACGTTTCTATCATCTATTTCTTTTTCTGCCTCTTTCTCTCATTCTAATTCACCCTCTCTCGGTCTCTCCCTCTCTCTCCCTCTCTCTCTCCCTCCCTCTCTCTCCCTCTTCTGCGCCTGTCCCCCCCTCTCCCCCCCTCTCTCTGCGCCTGTCCCTTCCCTCTCTCTCCCTCTCTCTGTGCCTGCCCCCCCCTGTCCCCTCTCTCTCTCCCTCTCTCGTCGCCTGTCCCTTCCTCTCCCCCCCTCTCTCTCTCTCCCTCTCTCAACGCCTGTCCCCCCTCTCCCTCCCTCTCTATGCGCCTGTCCCTTCCCCTCTCCCCCTCTCCCCCCTCTCTCTCCCTCTCTCCGCGCCTGTCCCTTCCCCTCTCTCTCCTCAGTCCACGTGGCACAAGCCTGTACCTAGCGGGTGACGCCCTCGCGTGGGGCCGCGACCGTTTGTCTGACCCCGTTAACACCGGAAATGGATCAGGAGAAAATTCACCTGTTGTAAGGTCATTTCATTGCGTACATAAGCATTAGCATATTCAACCTTTTGTAAACTTATTTCACTGCGTGTATTAACGTCTGCATATTTCGCCAACCGTTAATTCGTATCTTTACGTATATAGACGTCTGTGTACTTTATCTTTTGTAAGCTCGTTTGTTCATTTCATTTTGTTACCCAGACTTATGCTCGTATGAGAGAATCAAACACATTTATTACCTTCACTGCCCTACGTATTGCGATATTACTATCTATAACATGTATCGTTGTTATTGATGTGATGATCATTAACATTATTGGCATCGTTGCTGTTATCATGGTCATATAGTACTGACAATAATAATGATAATAATGATTATGTTATCATTATCAATGATAATGATGATAATCATAATCATAAGTATATTGATGATGATATTATCATTAAAGATAATGATGGTAAGGGTAACCATAATAATGATTTTATTAATGATATTGATAATAATAACAACTACATTGATAATATTAGCTAATGATAATAATGATACAGTTGAAAACGCATAAATCGGATTCAAGTGGCCCAGAATTTTTTATCCGATTTATGTATAAGTGAGATGAAATCCGAATTATACGTAAGTCGGATAAGATACCGAGTTATACGTAAGTCGGAAAAAAAATCCGACTTCTGAACCTGTTTTGGTGTTGCCCGAGTGGGTCGCCGTCAGATGACCCTGTGGGGCAACACCTTGACGTGTCAGGAGTACATAGTTCACCTGATTCTTCATGCCTTATGTGTACACCTGTGTGCTGTGTTTATCATTGCGGTGTCGGTGTGTTATCCTGCCTTGTTGAACTTATGCAGGGGATCGGGAGCTAAGCTAGGAAAGTGTTAGATTGTCAAGCCTCTACAAAGGAGAGGTCACTCCACGATCTGTTGTTAAGTCGTTTCTCAAGCACCATCATCTACAATAATAATAATGATATTATTGACAACAGTAACGTTATTATTGTTAATCATTATCATTCTCATTATCTTCGTTATTCTCAATTCTATTATCACCATCATGAATACAGAATACATTAGTTTCTTTTTTTTTTTCTCTCTCTCTCTCTCAACTCTTTATAATTCAATGCAGAAAGAAGAAAAAAAAATGTAAGTAGTTCACCTGTGTATCATAACTACACGCTCAACACCTGCCTATTTTACTCAATACCTTTTCGCAATGATAAGATAACACCAAAGTCAATGCCCGCTGGTTGTTTAAAGCCCCGTGTAACACTGAGTATGAATCTGTAAATATTATGGTTGAGGTAAGAACACATCCGTTGAACAAGGGGATAATGTCTTAAACTAGTTTAGTTTTCCATGACATCTAATATTTTACGTTATACAGAACGTGTGTGTATGTGTATATATATCTCTGCCCATTTCCTTGTTTGTCTGTCTGTCGGTCTGTCTGTCTGTCTGTCTGTCTGTCTGTCTGTCTGTCTGTCTCTCTCTCTCTCTCTCTCTCTCTCTCTCTCTCTCTCTCTCTCTCTCTCTCTCACACACACACACACACACACACACACACACACACACCACACACACACACACACACACACACACACACACACACACACACACACACACACACACACATCACACACACACACACACACACACAATATATATATATATATATATATATATATATATATATATATATATATATATATATGTGTGTGTGTGTGTGTGTGTGTGTGTGTGTGTGTGTATGCATATATGCATATATTTAGTTAATAAGTGTACCAATTCCCTTTATGGATACGACTTGCAAGCTTAAGAAAAAGAGCATGGGAAGTTTCTGATTAATGACATTTCCGTACGGTAAGAACCGCCGTTGGAAGTTGTATCAGACACTCCTAGTAAGAACACAGGCAAATTTATGCCCAAATGTTCTGTCACTCTCAAATGTGCTTCAGGTTTTTATCTTTATTTTTATCATAATCTTTTTAACTGGTCTGCAATTAAGGCAAACTAGATGCGCTTTTTCTGCTAATTGCCAATGCAATGTTGCAGTCTTCAGCGATCCTTTCATGAAAACAAACTGAAACTGCTTTCCTGTAAAAAAAACAACAACAACAAACAAACAACATATTTCTTAATCTGACTTCTACGTTGCGGGTTAAATATTGGTTTGGAGCAAAATCATATACGTGGAAAAGACATTGCAATTTAAAAAAGAGACAGATGTTAATTGAATGAATAATTAGCTGAGCAATTGACATGAAAATACGGAAATGTCATATTCTCCGTGAAATTAAAATCTTGGAGCTTTGACGTTTAAATCGGGCGAAACATTTCGTTCGGGCGTAAGAAGTTTCTGCAGGACAGCTTACCTTTGGCGATATTATATTCAGATGTATACTCGCATGTTTTACTGCTCATACTTAGCAATCGAAATAGCAAACATGTTTAATTTTCCTGTAATATTTTGTGAAATAAATGATATTTGTATTGATTTATCTCAGAGTTTTTGCAATATTATCGTAATCAAATTAACTGATAATTTGCATATAATTAGCTTTATGAGTCACTTTAAAAATCTGTGATATATCTTAGTAGTCTAACTTTGATAAACGTTTTTCATCTCTCGTAATACAAATTATTTAATCTTACACTTCCTGAGATAAGGAGAAATGAGAGAGAGTTACATTAGGAAATGAACATAAAAAGTGAGGCGATGAAGGTACCAGAACTGTCAAAAATGGGGGTAAATTAAGTTGCATAGTTTTATTTTCATAGTGGATGAGTATGATAGATAGCATGCAATGGAAATGTAAGTGGGGGGGGGGGAGGCAAACACCAAGACCGTTTTTTGTGAGGGTGTCATTCGTGTATCATCCCTTATAATGCTTTGAACCAGTGGCTCCCGACCATAGATGATGATCTGTATGGTTCGGTGCGATTGGACAAGAACACTATGGAAAGACTTCAATTTATTGATGTGTTAGAGATGATTATGTGCAGGTATAATATGTTTAATTCGACGTTTTAATTCGACGTCATAATTTTCATAGTAACTCCATGGTCCCTTAAAATGTACCCCGTGGCCATGGTCCCTAGGTTGAGAACCCTTGCTTTAGACAGTTTATAAAAGTAGGTTCTTTATCCGTCTTACAACAATCACGATATGAAATGCATACTGTGTACACGTTTCATAATCGGGTCTAAAAGAGTAAATGAATTTAACATTTTTTAAAGTAAATGAAGCAGAAGCAAACTGAAAACAGTTCATCCGAAACAGCTATCATGTCTAAGAAGGGATAAGTCGGTTAGAATGCATAGGCGTAGGAAGGTACTTTTAAGTGTGTGTGTGTGGAGGGGGGGGGGGGTAAGTTCTCCCCAAAATAACCAGGAGCTCTGAGGGCTTCAGGCCCTTGGCGGGATCCAAGGGCAGCGTCCCGGTGGGGCAGCAGGGGCGAAGCCCTGGAAGCTCCTGGAATTTAGCAGCTTTAAAGAGATTAGCTCATTAAAGTCAGCACTAAAATGTCGACATTTTTATTTAGATAATACTTGACATAACGGTTATTTTGCTTTGAACACTAGGCTCAGTTATAGCTACCCTCAGTTGCAGCAGGTCAGTCTTCTCAACAATTCGGTAACAAGGAGTTCCAGTTTGTTAACGAAATGTTCTCAAAGTTGAGGAGTTTGGGGGGGGGGGCAGAATTTGGCCCCGCCCCCTCCATTCTAAAGTTGGGGGATAGTCGCTCTCCCTGCCCCCCTTTTCCTATCTACTGATCTTCCAGCAGAATTATGTGTCTATTTCCTACACCTGTTAGTTATCCAATCTTCATATCCAACACATCATTTCCTTTTTCATTTGACTAGAAATGTAACATTGGATAATTGTATCAATATCCAAAGAGTGCTAATATGGTTGTATCACCAGATTTTGACATTGGAAAAAATCACGACAGCTAAGATAAGGTGGTATCTAGCAGACTACATTTTCTGGACCCTCAGACTACCTAAGGGATCCTTAAACTTTGGACAATTTACCTTATTCTTTGTATACTAAATACCTACTACCTTGGTATTGCTTGCATATGTGTGGTTACTCTTTTTCTTGCAACAATTGTCAGGATTACAGCATGCAGTAGTTCCATGTAAATCAGTGGAAAATCCATATTTCAAATGTAGTAATTCATGAGCACATATATGAGTCCTGTACCAATCTAAACACTAAGGATATTAGGAACATCTTTAATTTTTGAGTCAAAATATCATTGTATATATCAGAAAAAAATGAAATGTGCTTCCCTGCCATACCTAAACAATTGGTCTTCATGCTCAGTAATTTCACAATTTGTAAAATTTAAAGCATATTCACAGATAAGTTTCAAAAGATAACTGTTTTCTAAAGGTGTTTTTGAAAAAGTGAAAATGCATATTGTTGGGTTGACTAAAGTAAACTAAAGGAAACTGAGCATTCTACTCCAGGGGGAGTAGGGGGTGCCGATAATTAAAATGTCATTGTGTTGATGGTAATAAACAAAACTGAGACTTGTTACCAATGGATATTGGAATAATTCAATTACTTTGCTGTCAGACCCATGTCCTACAAGTAGATGCAACAAGACAGTGATTTTTGACAAATTTTGACATTGATGTGATAGAAAATGCATAGTTTTACCCTACATACAATATTATCAATCTGTAATCTGTGTATTTGAAATGGACAGAAGCCTTCACTTTAAATGCTAAAACACATTGTAATGCTGGGAATCAAGTATTCTTTAAAAAATGAATCAGCACACAGAAAGCTCCATAGCTATTGTCAAAGGATAAAGCTGACATCACTTAAAAGTATACTCCTTTTTCTATCAGTATACACAGAGTGCACTATATATCATAGTGAAATGATGTCCATTTTGGTATCTGCATTGCACAGTTACTTGAGAGTAGGACTGATGCTGCATATTTTTTGTAATGTAAAGTAACCATTTAATATGTAAGATTCATCTGCTTTTTCTCTTGTTAACATCATCTTATATTTTATCTAAGAAAGTTTTGGCATTATGTTTGCAGTTATTTTAGCCAACCAAAAATCTTGTATTATTATAAATATGCTTTAATAGTCCCCTACTGTGCCATGTGTAAAAAAAGATATAGATGTTCAAATTATCCATAGAGGCTTGGCTTTTATTACCATTGCATTCATGAAAACTGTCACCTCCTTCAGTATGTCCCTAATTTTTAGATATTACTGATGTTACATTATACGACAAACTTGATTGTCATATGTAAGTGGATGTAGGGGACATGTCAGTAGAGGAGTAAGCTTCAGGATGATGTGATAAGGTAGCCAGCTCCTTTTCACACTGACTTTGACTCAAGCCTGCTGATGACAGTACTCAATAAAATTTTGATCATGATAGCCAGAAAATCCAATTAAATTTTTTAGTATTATTTCCAGTTTCTGACCCATAAAATGTCTATAAAAAGACAAAACCATCCTAGCCCTTGCAATCAAGGCAATCTAAGACATTAAGCCAATCACCAGCTTGCTTCTAAAACTTGAAAAGGTATGGTAATAAAAGATAAATATGTCCTCAATATTTATTTATATCACGGGATGGGGCGCAGCACAACCAAGGAAATACTGTAGGGTAAATAATCATTAATATACTGTATATACTTTGAACCTTGAATGAACTACCTCTAAAACAAGATTCCCATATATGTGACAGATAATATATATATATATCTACATTTGTATTAAAAGACCTATTTATTCTTCTAAGTGTATGCAGGTTTCTAAGTATGTACAAATACACAAACTTATGGATAAATATACACAAAGCTTCTTTCCAGTTATAAGAGGAAGTAAGTGTGTGTGTGTGTGTGTGTGTGTGTGTGTGTGTGTGTGTGTGTGTGTGTGTGTGTGTGTGTGTGTGTGTGTGTGTGTGTGCGTGTGCGTGTGCGTGTGCGTGTGCGTGTGTGTGCGTGCGTGTGCGTGCTCACATGTACACATGAGTACATGCATATGTGTTTAAAAATTGTGATAATGGGAAAATGATTTTAGAACTAGGTCATGGATTCCATCAGATCTGCAACTAATATGTACAAAAGTGAAGCAATATCTCATGCTACACCCCAGGACATTTTTATTATTACAACCCAGTCAGTTGGAAAAGGTATTTATGATCATGTATTTGGGGGACACATGTATTCTGAAATACAGTAGATATGAATGCAATGCAAATGACTAGTGAATCATTTTCAGAAACTGTGTATTGCTAAATAAATGGACTGTGCTGTCCTTTACATTATAATGAACTTAAATTAATATATGTACATAACTGCTACATGTTCCAGAGTTTATAAAAATGCATAGATTACTTTCTGCACAAAAGTACATGCTAACTTAATGCATTCTTTTCTTCTATCAAATGAAATAAACACCTCTGATATGAAAGTTAAACATCTCGCAAACCACAATATGAAATAACAAAGAATGATTCAGAACACTCAATAAAGATTATACATGTCTTTCCTGAAATATAAAAATACCATAAAGTTCTCACAGGTTGCCAACGATAATTGTAATCAAATCAACTAATTACATTCATTATTGCTTGCGAGTACCATTTATCCTAATCTGCTGTTATGGCACCCTTATCGTTAGGAATCTTTTTATTCGTGTTTTTTGCAATCACTGGTATACAAAGGTGATTAGTGAACTATTAATATGAAGACTTTCAAACATCTAACAAGTAGGCCGGACTCTGCCTTCCAAGTATTTATCAAGCACAGGAAATAACCTCAATATACCTAATCCTATTCTTAACAGTGTTTCCACAGATGTTTACCTCTGAAATCCATACTTACACAGTGCCATTTTAGGGATCTCTGCTTTCAAATGGTCTCAATATGGGCACTTTCTTTTGGGGATCTTATAAAAACTTTTCTTCTGCCATTCTTCCCTAGCAGAAGCTTTACATTTCATAAAGTGAAGACGACCAATGCCTCAGCTTGAACAAAACCTGTCACTTCTCAAAAAAATTGTAATACAAAACATAAAAATAAAATAAATCTAAGACACTGATGACAAAATTTATAAAATAAAAGGAAATCTTACTGGAACACGATTCCTTACAAGCACTTGTGGCTGCCATCAAAAATGAGCTGAGATCTATCATCATTGTTTTAAAAGGTAAGTTATATTACACATTTATCACCTTCAAGTTGAGAATATAAGAGCATATAATCAGGTTTCACTTGTGGTGTCTATGTACATCGAAGGATTCACCTTGAAGGCCCATTCAGTACTACCATAAATCTATACAAAATACAGTACAGTAATCCACAGGTTGCTAAGTCCTCTGTTGAAATTTTCAACACAGTGTCTACAGGCTTTATAAATATATATAATACAAACAAAAGCAAATTATAAAAGAAAGTAAAAGCTTATCAATATGATAAAATGCAGAGTTTAAAAGTATATATTTTTGCAGAAAGAAAGAACGAAAAAAATGGTATATTAAATTTCTCTCCAGTAGGTTTATACAAAAAATAAAGAAATAAATGAAAGCTACAAATAAACAGTAATACAAAAATTATGTCTTTCCACTTATCTACATGAATGAACCTACCAATCCTTAACCTTTGTAAAGTTTTCTGTAAATTAATTCTGTAAAAAATGATATTTCATTGTGAACATTAATAATACTGAATTCTTTTTATAATCAGTATTTTTACCTAATGAAATGACTGATATCCACAAAAAAAACAATATTTCACTGCCTAAATAGTTTAAAACAATAAAAGATTACAATCAGAATATTGTACCAATATTTTCTAAATGAAATACAAACTAACTACACAGACAGTTACCTATATGTTAGCCCATTATAATGTAGACCAAGTTTATATTCTGCAATGACTGGAAAGACCCTTTTCCCATAAAATACCATTTTATATATACACCAGACCTACAACAATGCATTTGGTACAAGTGATGAGCTATAATGAGTGTAGAGTACAACATATGCTTGGAAATGCTTCTTCATCCGAAATATCGACAACACATTTGTTAATCAACATTATTCAGAGTCAGTACATGGTTTAATGTGTATATATGTAATCTGTTCCTTATCCTTATGTTTTGGAAAACTGTTCATTATATACCTACTAACAATTGTAATTTTACTACAGGCAATTTTTCAGGAAGCACAGAAGGGACAGAAAGCACCAATGTCACTAAATGTTCTATTATGGAAGAATTTAGTTTTCAAAAACAAAAAGGATTAAAATGCCTTGAAACTTCAATATAATCTTATGCCCTACAGTCATCACCAGGAATAAGTCTCCAGCATTATCTGTGTGGATGTGCTTATGTGTGTGTTCATGTGAAACGTTTGTATGTAAATGTATAAATGTCTGTGTATTAGTATGTGTACTTATACACAAACAGATATGCATTTGTATATATACATATTTTGTATATGTATCTCATCTTTTATGTATATACACAGCAATACACACACAAGCACCCACACATTTACACACAGAGTATACTGTATATTGCTTTAGGAGAGGTATTAATTCAGTCTCCTTCATCTCACAGAAAAAGTTTCTCTGATCACAGCTGAATAAGCCACTAATAGTCATAGAACATCAATAAGCGTTTTATGAGAAATGGAGTTCATAATGCTTAACAATTTTCAAAATATCCATTGAAACTTTACATGTTACCATCTACAACAACAACAAAAAAGATTAATTTAACCCATACACTACAGTGCGCTTGTTATGCACGCAATTAGCAATGTGGCTAAGTTGCAGGAAAATCTGTCTTTTTATGATCCCAGCAAGGGAAACACCAACTAACTACAAATGATGAAGATGGGTAATACTGCAAACAGATAGTTACCAACATTTACAAAATACCAGTTGAAGAAAAGGTATGGTTGTAAAACAATCAGGATATTTACGAGTGTCAATTTGAAAACTGTTCTTAGAAGCACATAACAGTCCTTTGCTCAGTCACTGAAGAGGCATACAGCAGTATATGGGTTATCATGCAAACCATTAGCAATTTCTTTCAGCACTCTTAGAAATTGTAATCCATATCTTATCAAACATTCAATATCTCTCAAATTTAGACCTCTCCTTTACTCTTAAAATATCAGAAGTTTCCACCACAAAAAAGGTATCACTGAAAAAAAGATTGGAGATTCATATATCTAACAGGTTCATCAAAAAATCTATTGTCATTGAACATGAGTGTACAGACAGTAGAATATCACATGTGTATTGCATTCCTTTTATAGCTCACTCAATCTATCTAATGTGGATATGCAGGCCCATTTCCCAATTAACTTTTCTCTTCGATCAATTTTACTTAATTTGTAGATTCCAAGGGGGCCACCCAAGAAGTCAAACTCATATCTTCCACCCTCGGTTACTGCCTGCCGGAGAGCTTTGACTGTGGTGTATCCTAACCCTCGAGTCTCCAGTTCCAGGGTTGTGGTGGCTAGTTTATCTCGTATCGTCTGGTGAGTAAGAATTAGTTTAGAAGAAATAATGGAATTGTGTATAATGATTATTCAAATATTTATTCATTCAAACATTTAAGTAAATATTGTTTCTGTAATTACAAATGATTAAAACATCCCCACCAGAGAGGTAGGCCCAGTTAAACACCTTAGTACATTATTCTATTCCATAATCTAAATTGATTTGGTAGAAATCATTTGCTTAGCTGACTTTTGATAAAATGATAAACTACAGCAATTATCAAATAAGAAAGTATGAATACTATAGAAATGAAATAAAAAGAAAGAATCAATACCTTCCCAAACATAGCAGCCTGATTTGCTGTAAGCTTCAAGCCAGCAAGAGACAAGATTGACAGGTGATGTAGGTTGGTTGTGAGTGCCTGTAAAAGCGTGTGTTCCATTCCTGGCGTCCCACTTGACTCCCGCACTTCAACACCAGTGAGGATAACTTCGCGAAGCTGGCTGCCTCTGAGCTGCTTCCCTCCAGCACGCATTACCTGATGATATTAAATAGTATAAATGATGAATTTTGTCAAATTGTTTGTAGTTCAGCTCAGTTCAGTGAGACTGGTAGTAATGCTTCATGTGTGAGAACAAACATATAAATGTTATGGAAATGCATATACACTTACTGCAGTAAGATAATAATTTTATAGTTTGATTTTATATTAATTATCTACCTTCAGCAATAAGGAGGAATTTGAAATATATTTGAACTAAAATTTTAAAAACACTAAATACTAAATATGCCACCTACCTTTTCACAATTATCAAGAGAGAACACCCAGCCACCAAGGGTCAATCTTCGCAGAAAAGGGAAAGATCCCGGCAAGAGGGAGAAAAGCCTGTGCGTTGTGGAATCATCAATAATGTCTGCTCCCAGGCTAGATGCCAATGAGACATCAACAAGCTTGGGGAAATGTCGAAGCATAAAGAGTAGTTGTGGCCCTCGTAGGACAACTTTGCTATTTAGAGTCACCTGGAAAAGAGTTGAGGGGTTCAAATTAACATCATGTGCACCAATTTCTTACATTTCTGATGCTGATCCTTGGGATCATAAAGTTATGTTCCACAATTTACTTAGATTATAAAAACATATCATAGAATATTCAGTGAAATAAAGGCTGTAAAGGGAAAAAGAATAAAAGAATAAAAGGTGTGTTTCTGAACTACTCTGCTGCATCTGACACACTAGCAATGCACAAACAAAACATACTCTGACCTCAAAGTGATCCAAGTTCAGGAATGCCAAAGTGTTGTTATGTAAGGGAGGAACCGACTCTTGAAGAGCTGCTATGACATCATCTTGCCTAGAGAGACGTGCAAGAGCCCCATCATGTACAGTGACAATTACTCTACAATTGCTGAGGTCAAGATGTTGTAGTTCTGTTGCATTAAGAAAACGGATCAACTCCTTGAGTGACCGTTCACTCTGTAAAAAGAATATAAATAATTAAGTAAATAAAATTAAAGGTTCAAAACTAAATGGGGGCTATATTTTTAAAATCCTCATATATTCTCATAATATATTTTTCAGTTCTATAATTTCATATCACTTGAAAAAATAACTATATAGATTTGTTCATGCTTCTGATGAAAATATAGAGTGCAAATGTTCAACAACACATTAATAGATATAAATGTAAGGTCATTAATCCCAAAACAAACTGACTTACCTCAACTTGGATGGTCCAGCCATTCAAGACGAGAAACCTTAAGGACTTATTCTTAGCTAAAGCATTAAGAGTGACTTGCAGGGCAGCATCTCCCAAGAGGATATGAGGGGATGTCAAGTCAAGAAGTTGCAAAGTAGTGTTCTCCTGAAAGAGCAAAATAATCAATATGTATTTCCCATGTTTATCAGTTTGCCCTATCTTCTTTCAATAATAATAATAATAATAATAATAATTTTTAATATTCATCTGAAAACTTTAATTTAGTTTATCACAGGAACATCCAAAAATAATATAATTATTTTTTTTTATAGAATAACATATAGTATATGACACAATAATGTAATTATAATGTTAATCCATGTTATTACTTTCTCTACGGTGTTATTCAGGACATTAAGTTCACAACATAACACAAATATCAGTAAACAAACCTGTAAAGCTATAAGGACTGGGATAATCTCTGCCATTCTTGACAGCCCCTCCATCCTAAGGGATGAAAGGCACTTGGTGAAGCGTACAGTTTCCCCGAGACACACCAAGTCTTCTGCCCCCATTGTGCATTTGCTAATGTTTAGGTGGCACACTCTTGAGGCTGGGTTGCGGAATGCTGCAAATATCTGGAAAGCGAGAATTCAAATCTATGATATTTTGTTAAAAAATACAGCTTATTGAAGAATAAGTTTTCTACTGTGCCAATCCTCATTTTAAAGCCTATGATTTATGTAATCAATGTTTGAAAGCTTTGCATGTGTCAACATCATTTGCAACTTACTTCATGAAACCCATTAGCATGAACAATGGGGTTGCATGCTGGTGGTGGGAAAGATGTTTTCTGAAGGAGCGTTGTGTCTGAATTTCTCTTTTCTGCTGAAAGAGAGTGCAATCTCCCCCGACCAGGAAGTGACTGGTAGAAAGATCGTGGGAGAGAGTTGAACACAGACCTGGTATTACCCTGTGCATCAGTGAAACTCCAAAAAGAGAGTGGCGCTGGGGCGTCTTCTCTAGTTGGTGAGGGTGTGCTGGCTCCTGTGCCTGTTGAACGCTCATCCACCTGAGAGTCACAGAAGATGCTAGGTTAAATGGAATATCAAATACCCCTTTTTATTATCATCTTCAGTCACATGTTTTTGAGCATCCAAGCATGTGATCTTATGTACATGTACTTATGGTTGTGCTTTCATGCACAAGCATAAGCACATGTTCATAAGATCACACACATCCATGCACACATGCACACACACATGCACGCACATGCACACACACGCGCACACACGCACATACACACACACACTTCTCTCACTCTCTCTCTCATGTGTACAGATAATACAAAGCTATATATATATATAATATATATATATATATAATATATATATATATATATATATATATATATATATAATATATATATACACATTCCAAAATTTTGTTCCCATAATTAATTCTTTCTTTGACGAAATGTACATCCATCTTTCAGTTTACGATTATATATTTTGAACTGGTGTATATATCATTTTCAAAACTAATAATTCTTATCTTTAAACAGAATCAAAACAGGATCAGATGACAAGAGCCTTTTATACTTACTGGGGTGCCAGAGCTGAGAGACCCTGCAAGATTGAGTGACACCAGGGGACTGTTTTCAACAATCTGTGCAACTGCCTTCAGGCCATCTAAACCACAAGCCAGGTGAGGAAGATGAAGCACTTGTACATGTGGTGCATTCTGCAGGACTTGACACAACTGTACAACCTGAAAGAGTATCACACACACTTACACAAACAGTATAGTATCTCATTTTTCCTTTACAACATAAAAAAACAACAACACTCATATCACATTTAAATATAAAAGCAGAAGAATGGTTAGAAATATATATACCTATGAAAACTTTATAAAAATAAGACAGTAAGAACTAACTTGTTCAGCATCCAGTTCTAATGCAACAACAAGCTTGTTAAGGGCCTGAGCCAAGTCTGGGAGTGTGTCGCAGATCATATCCACGACAGGACTTAGGATTTCAGCAGTTGCCTCTTCCAGAGATGTCACCTGAATCTCAAAAGACTCTAGTCGGCGCTTGGTGAGCACAGCCCTCACGTATGACACAAGTCTTGTTACCTATGAAGGGGATAAGGGAATGACTTTAGTAATCGTTTGTGATTTGTCTGATATTTACTGAAATGCCTTCAGTTTGGTATTTCCATAAAGTATCAATTCTTTTGCTCCAAATTTTATAGGAACTACAGAAAACAAGCTGCATCCAAACACAACTTACTTCAGACTCGCCAAAGTCCCCACCAACGACACAGGTAAGTTTGACACTCTTGACACTCTCATTAAATGACATGGATGTGAAAAATGACTCATGTCTGTCTCTTGAACTCCCATCAAAGTCCAACAGCACATCCACTCCTTCCAGCATACAGTCAGGGGAGTACAGTAAACGACCCCAGTCTTCTAGCTCCGCAGAATTTGTCTGAATTACGACATGTTCCCGGCCTGATACGTGCTTACATACCTTTATGGAAGGAAAAAAATATGATTATTTTGATATTCTAAAGACATCTACTTTTTTCTGTTTCACATGCACATATTTAGAGCTTACTTTTTTATCTTTTAGATCTCTTTGCTTACCATCTCCTTTACAATCTTAAAATAATAAAAATAAATAAAAAACTGTACAAAGTACCAATTTATAGCCTTCTTCAATGCAAATTAAGGAAAACACAACATCAAAATAAACTTTTTTACCACACATTTTCCATGTAGTAAAATCAGTCTGTTCCCCAAAACACAATTAACTACTAGCCTTCAATAACAGATAATGTTACATATTCTGTACAACTGTCTTGTCTTCTGCTTCTTACCTCCACTACCAGCTTCTGGTACATGTTAGTAGCTCGTTCCTTTGCAGCAAAAAGGAAAGGAGAAAAGGAGGCCAAATAATGACATCAATGGAACTGTGTCACCTCATCAAGGAACAGAAACTCCTAAAAACACCATGCAAGTACTAAATGCCACATATACTATTCATTGTGTGGTTGGTCCTCATGCTAATGTATTTCAAAAGCAGGAGGAAAATTCTAATGTAGTTTCCTTTGCATCTTGCATTAAAACTTGCCTCCTAAAACTCATACTGTTCCTATGTACATGATGCTATGTATGTGTAGCAGTCACAGATTTACAAAGACAAGAAAGGTTCTTGGTACAGAATGAGGAAAAAACAAGAAAAGAACACTAAATGCTTTGGAAGATTATCAAACAAGGCAATACCATTCAAAAGGAGACAACCAGGAGAGGATAAAGAGGAGGAAAAGATAAATAAGAAAAAGGGAGCTTAAACAAGAAAAGAAAATTAGCAGAAGAGTAAATAGAGCAGGAACAGGACTCAAAAAAATCCAAAATGCAACTCTTAGTCAGCCCTTTCAACAAGTTTCCAATTAACCATCAAACCAGTAACAACAGATAGTGCAGACAAAAATAAAAGAGAAACTATGAAGAGACTAGCTAACACAAGATGGAAATTTCAATGATTCCTGGTACTTAATGACAGGGCTGTGCATAATGCATTTATCAACAGCATGCACAAATATTTTACAATAAAATGCTGTAACATTAACATATGCCATGTTTATTTAATAACATATCTAAATGTGACATCATATGTAAATGTCTTGTTAAGAGAAGTTTATTTAAAATTTTAGAATAAAAAGATACCTATTTGTTTCCAAACTCCCTTCTCTGTTCTACAAAATGTTACATACATGTATTTTTAAGTGTTCAGAATTTATCAGATCAATAAATCTTAGGAAAATGCCAATACCTAGGCATCTTACATTTAGAAAATTTAATCAACAGCAAAATTGGTTATCTTACTAATTATTCTCTGGAAGAGATTCTCATAACTTCCCAAACAGTGATTTGTTGGTTATTACTGCATCAATTTCTGTATCAATTTTACCCCTATTCATTATATTGAGACAATTTCATACCTCTCATTGTATCATAAAATAATTTAAAAAAGGGCTTTAAAAATGACTTGTGGTCAAGACTCATATTACATTGACCTACAGTATTTCCAATAGGAATGGAGGCTTTGGAGGGAAATTGTATTTTCATCCATTTTTGATAAAATGTATTACCAAGGACTTTTTTTTACCATTCATTTACATGTGTGTACTAGTATGTAGAAAAATCTGCAAATGCCTCTATGGATCTCTTGAGTTTCTAAATGCACATGTGAGTAAATCCTCTTTTTCCTCCTATTCCATGCTATGCAGATGCCATTTCATGCAGTCAGTCAAAAAAGAAATTTCAACCTGTTTGGGCATTTTGTTACCTTATACTAATGTATATAAAAAAAAGGGAAAATAATTCTACCCATAATATCTCTTCCTCACCTCTAAGACATTCATCTGGTACATGCCACTTTCTTTCAACAGGAGGAAAAGGATCCTCTGAGGAACTCCCATCTGAGATACAATGTTGAAGACAATGTGGGCATTTCTTCCGAGTAGTCCCACTAGGTATCGCAAGATCATCAAGCCGGAATTTTGTCTGTTTGATGTTGAAATCATCATGATTAATTATAATTTATATAAATATATACACATATATTTAATAACACTATTTCCATACAGTATTTTAAGCTGCATAAAACTGAAGTAGCTAGCAAGTAACAATAAATCTAACATACCTTAAAATGGGATGGGTTATATCCATCTTTTCTGCAATACTGTCAATTTCAGTTTGCAGCAAAGAGGTATCGTGAATAAGGCCAGATAGGTAGAAGGCAGCCAGAAACTCAAGGAATGATTTGTGTGCAGGAGTGTAAAAGTCTTTCTTGCTCAACTTGGACATTGACTGCATTCTTAACAAGATGCCAAGCTCAACAATTTCTCCTCCATGTTGGCACTTGGTCTTTAGGTCTTGTGCTGTGAAATATGGAGTGTTCTGCTTGAGTGCTTCTAAGGCCAGCTTCCCAAAGTCCTGTAAAATAAAGAACATATCACCATCAGTTCCATTTTCAAGAAAACAATAAAGAAAATCTACATATTAACATAATTTATTTTGGGAAATAATTCCAAGATGTTTATTTTATCATTTTGCATTCTTTATTAAATATTTAGCATATAAAGGTTAAGATTGACAAAAAAATCTCATTCCTAACTTAACTAATGACCAAAATCAAACTTCAGTAAACTCCCTCATACTTAATGATACCTACTGATAACAACTTATTATATCTATCAGGCAGCACATCATAGCACATGGGTTCCCCTCGCTTGATCAGGTTCTTCCTGATCATGTGTTTGATGAGAGACATGTACATATCTGTGAGTCGTGAAGGCAGTTTTCCTCCCAGGTCTTCATACAGGACACCTAGAGCCAGGCACATTATGGGACATGTTATCAGGTCCCCATATTTCTCTTTGCTTGCTGATATCAGGGACAGTACCTGAAGGGAAGAAGTGAAAATTATGACATGGTTGTAACTGTAAACCACACAATGTATTTTAGCTCATAATGGAACAAACCAAGTTCATAATAAGCAAAAATTAAAAACAATTTCATTCAATTATTGTATGTCATAATAATAAGACCTACTCCAACACATGATAAAACCTATGGCCTTACCTCATTCCCACTACCAGGTTTATTTATGGTGTCAAAGTACCGGGAGATGAACCTGTGTGTCTGGTCCGGGGCAAGGCCAGCAATGAGCAGTCGCCTGTGCATGGATGGTGGGAGGGGCTTGGAGGACCCAGGTCTTGATGTCAAAACCACTGTCGCATTGGAGAACATCTGACCATCAATGAGCTCATTCATGTCTCCGCTCTCCTCCTCAATCAGTTCATCGTAGCCGACCAGGAGGAATAGCACCTGATGATAAAAGATTATATTGCTATATTAGTCAAATTCTTTATTTCAGTACTGATGCATTTTTATTTACTCTTACTTTCAAAATCTATTGTTTAACTCAGCTAAACTGAAAGCGCAATAATTTTATCTTCTTAGATTCCAAACAAGTTAAAAACTTCAACAAAACAAAAATATTTGACAAATAGTTTTTCTTACACATACATGTCCTATACTATATTAATGAAGAAAATTTCAGATCTTACCTTATCTTCAATCTTTTTCATATGATTCCATAGGGTGTTCATTGCCTCCTTGCTTAGAATATGTCTTGGCAAGACCTCCTTACACAGGTGAGAGAACACAGAGCCTCCTCTGAAATCTCGTAGCGTCAGGACAAACACCAAGCTGAGAAACGGTACAGAAGAATTAAGTACTGCGTCACCTTTAAATCTTTCTCTGGTCAATAATTTCATCATAATGATCATATTCAAAACATTTCAATAATATCAGTCCAGCTACAACATACAACCATACCTATAAGTTGACAGATAGGAGCCTGTTGGATCTGTAGCCCAGTCATAGGCTAATTTCAGGGCTAATGTAGATTTACCATATCCTGGATCTCCCTCCACTAAAACTCGCTTTGGGCGGTCCCCCATTGATGATTCAGTGAATGACAGCTGTAAAAAGTGGCAAGCTTTTATGAACTACCGACATAATTCTTATCCTCTCAATTGTACGCGTGTAAATTGACCCTTTTGCCTACACATAACTGGTTTCAAAGTGTCTGTGCCTTGTGCACTGACACTTTGAAAGAACTGATAACACTGATATGTTGCAATAATTTTATTCTTTTACCACTTATTATGTGAAATAATTAAATTTCCATCAAGAACTTCAGCACACAAATTATTAAATAATAATCATAACAAAAAAATACTCATGTTAATACAAAATCCCAATATCTGTACAAGTATTAATTCTTAAAAACTATTCCATAAAACTTGTTTAGAAGACGCTTAAATCAAAAGTTATTCTTAATGCTATTATAAAATTATCATAAACTTGCTTTACCTGCATTATCAATTCTTAACTAACATCAAAAGACATGAAACAATATTTGTGTGTAGAAAGCGAGAAAAAAATCAATCTGTGTTGGAAATATCACACCAGATTTTTACACACCTACTAATTATATGCAGCATAAAATCAAAGCCATCCATCATTGATGAAACTGGATACAATCTGATTCTATTAGCCCATTCAGCTGAGGACAGGTTCAACCCTGACTCAGCAAACTGATGCCAGAACTTCTTTTCCAGTGAATTTTTTTCACATACGACAATATAAACGTAATTAACTACTGACTGCTAACATAATACAGTTAAAAAACAAAAACAATGCAAACAACTAATTAACCAGAAAGAAATAATGAAAACAACTAATTAACTAAACCTTTTCTTTTAAGATTTATGAATTCTGATTTTCATCAGAATGCCATTAAAGTTCTTAAGCTAATCACTTACTTGAAATCTCAACAAATATTATAAAATATAAACTACTTCTCATTAACACAATTATTCAAGGAAAATAACAGACAAAAAGATGAAACAGTTTTTACAAAATTATCAGATTATAAAAAATGCTCACACAAAAGACAACAACCCAACTATATGAGAAGAACATATGGCATAAACAATCATCAATTAGAAGAGGTAGAAAGAAAACAAAATAAATACCGAAAATATCCCTAAAGAAAACAAGATTTTACCTGAAGTGGCTGCAGAATGGAAGGAACTGTGAGCAATCCTGGCGGGACCTTCAGGTGAGCGGCCAAGGGTACTTGTATTAAGCTGGTCTCAAACTCACTCACTATCATCCTGCACAACAATGGTATATAAATGTCTAGTGTGCAAGTATTCAATGATCAGAATTCTTTTGTTCTTTTTTTGTATAAATTCCTACTAAAAAAAAAAAACTACACTAATTTCCTGAATAATCAGATATATAGTCCTTACTAACAATGAGATTCATTAGCACATATAATGAAATTGATAAAAGCCACTAAAAACACCAAATGAAATAATTAAACTACACTAAAAGCATGTAGTACAAAACATTCACTGCTCAGATTCATTCAACGAAGTCTGCTTTCAACTCATTAAACATTAAACATTCCTCATCACTCATTTATCAAGTTGTAATCAAAAGTTGCTGTCCAATTTGTGATAAACTTTGAGCACATATATAACAAATGTAATACCACAATATTGTTTTTTTCTTTCATCATTTTGATAATAATGATCCAAACATCATTCTATTCATATAATGCTCAAATAAACATATCTTTCTTAATTAAAGATAAAGGGTATAAAAGTGCAATACCTGTTTTTTTACATTAGTTTTCATTGCCATAAAATTATGAGCCAAGTCTGATTTTATGAACAAAAATAACAAGGATTACATTAGATTCTTCCAAAGGGACTCCATTTGAAAACAGATAATGATCAAGATAAGAAAGTTTGAGCCTTAAGTTGATACAAAAACATCAACTAATTATCATAACTATTCATAAGAAAAGAAACATTATGAGGTATCAACTAAGAACTAAGCAACTAATCAACGGTAATTGCAATAATTAAAGTCCACGATGAATTACTCACTTAAATCCTGGACACCAAGGGAGCTGCAGGGGGCTGGAGATAAGGTTCTTGTACTGCGTCCTCAGGAAGGTGGCGACGCGAGCCACGAGGGCGCCGCCCATATCAGCCGCCCCTCTCATGGACGCCACCCGCATGGAGGAGACGTAGTGATGTGGAGCCACGTACTTGGGTTCCACTGTGGAGGCGTTGCTGTTGTTCCCCTGCGGCGCCGGGGTGGAGGTGACCAGGGGCACGGGTGGCTCCCCTCCTGGGCTCCACACCTCCTGCACGCAATGGCAAATCATTAGAGGCGACCTTGCTAGCAATGCGACATGAGTGCCCCCGTCGCCCAGGATGTCACGTGAGGTGCAACGGGGGCATGTGTCTGCAGGGTTAGGGGCACACCAGTCATCGTGGCACGCAGCACGAGACCACTTACCTCGGGCGTGCTGCTCAGGCGGTGCGGGGTTGTGTTTCCGTTGCTCAGGATGATCAGTTTGGAGTCGGGAGGGTCCGGCGTCTTGCAGATTATGCGCGGGGCCTGCTCCTGCTCCTGGTCGTGCTCGGAGGGCGCGGGGACCGGGTGCCCCGCGTCTTCCGTCGGGTGATCGCCACTCTTCGGGTCGGCTTCGGGTCGGTTGTCGGACTCGGCGGCGCACGTGGTGCACGAGAGCACCGAGGAGGACGTTCCCGTGAAGCATGAGGATGAGGTAGAGGATCGGTCTTCGCAGGTGTCGCACGGAGGCAGGGACGGCGGGAGGGCCGGCGGCGGCTTCTCGTCCTCGTCGTCCGCGTCCAGCACGTCCTCTTCCAGGTTGTCCGAGGACTTAATGCTCGACTTGGAGGTCCTCCTCGAACCCGGAGATGACCGCTGCCATGACCAGCGGCCCGACCCTGTCCGGGACTTCTCCTGTGATTCGCCGCTGCTGCCCATGTCGCTGCGGCTGTGGGCGCCACTGCGGCCTTCGCTGTGACTGCCGCTGTGGGCATCGAGGGACGCGTAGCCGCAAGAGAGAGACGCGAGGTCGTCGTGGAGGCCGTTGATGCTGAACTCCCTCGAGGCAGCGTCGTCCAGGAGTCTGCTGAGGGAGGCGGTGTCGTCCTCCTCGCCCATCATGGACGACGCACACGACGACCCGCTCTCGTCGATGAAGGGGATGCTGTTGCCGTCCTCCCCCGCGCCCTCGGCGATGCCCACGCCCAACACGCCCACTCCTGACGCAGTGGACATCTGCAACAGGAGGTAAGTGTCACACACATGCACTACGATAGACCTCGACCGCCACGCCGGGCCTCAGTCGCCTACGTGGCGCTAAGGCCAAGGATTCAGAGCATGCCGTTGGGAGGCTGAAGGCATGCAGGTAGGGCGGTGGGAGGAATAGGCAGAAAGTAAATGATGGGAAGAGAGACGGGGAATGTGACTGGGAGAAAGGAAAAGAGCACGAGAGCGGGAGGGAGAGGGAGAGGGAGAATTAGTGAGAGGGAGGGAGAGGAAGGAAGAGAGAGAGAGAGAGAGAGAGAGAGAGAGAGAGAGAGAGAGAGAGAGAGAGAGAGAGAGGAGAGAGAGAGAGAGAGAGAGAGAGAGAGAGAGAGATAAAGGGAGATTGTCAGAAAGTTGAGACACAGGGAGGCGGAGAAATACCTCCACAATCAACCGATTTACAGCGCACAGCATCGTTAGTCCACACTCACCGTCAGAAAAAAAAACAAAAACTACTATTAACCTTCAACGTGTAAACAGATGAACAAAGACACAGTTGAAAAACACACAGAAATGGTCGACAAATGTAAACAATAAAATGTCAGAAAAAAGTCCCCCACAAGAAACAAATAGACAAACGGTAACTCACTCTGACTCACACAAATACCTCTATTGTGTATGTATGTATATGTGTGTGTGTGTGTGTGGTGTGTGTGTGTGTGTGTGTGTGTGTGTGTGTGTGTGTGTGTGTGTGTGTGTGTGTGTGTGTGTGTGTGTGTGTGTGTGTGTGTGTGTGTGTGTGTGAAGAGAGAGAGAGAGAGAGAGAGAGAGAGAGAGAGAGAGAGAGAGAGAGAGAGAGAGAGAGAGAGAGAGAGAGAGAGAGAGAGAGAGAGAGAGAGAGAGAGAGAGAGAGAGAGAGAGAAAGAGAAAGAGAGAGAGAGAGGAGAAAGAGAGAGAAAGAAGAGAGAGAAAGAGAGAGAGAAAGAGAGAGAGAGAGAGAGAGAGAGAGAGAGAGAGAGAGAGAGAGAGAGGATGAACGGAGGGAGGGAGGGAGGGAGGGAGGGAGGGAGGGAGGGAGAGAGAGAGAGAGAGAGAGAGAGAGAGGAGAGAGAGAGAGAGAGAGAGAGAGAGAGAGAGAGAGAGAGAGAGAGAGAGAGGGAGGGAGGGAGGGAGAAAGAGAGAGAGAGAGGAGAGAGAGAGAGAGAGAGAGAGAGAGAGAGAGAGAGAGAGAGAGAGAGAGAGAGAGAGAGAGAGAGAGAGAGAGAGAGAGAGAGAGAGGAAGTGCACCAGAGAGTGAGAGATTTATTCCAAAAAATATAGTGAAACATTCACAGAGATAAACAAACAAAAACACCAACAAAAATACAAACCTACACAAACAAAACCAGAAATCCACTTAAAAAAAAAATCAACACTTCAAAAATAAACAACACCAAAAAAAACGTACAACAAAAATAACCACGAAACATAATTCTAAAAGAGAAAAAATAAATAAATAAAACACCCCCCCCAATAAAAAAAAACAAAACAACACGCATTACACCCCCAAAAAAAAAACCCACTCACACACAGTCCCTCCTCCACAGGGCGCCCTCGCACACCCTCCCTCCCCGGCCGATTACGCGACACTAACCTAATCTGCCTCGCGCCGCCCGCCCGCCGCTTGCCCGAGGGAATTCACAGACGCCTTCTCGAGCGCATCCTGGTGCTGCCCCGAGTCGCTGCTACTTGAAAAGGAGTTATATATAGAGTGACGCCTGATAATCGGGCTCTGTGCTGCCTTCGTTCCTTTATCGCCTCTTCCCCCTCTCTCTGCCTCCCCTCTTCGTCTTCTCTCCCCCCCCCTTTCCTCCTTCTCTATCTGTCTGGTCTTCCCCCCTTTCGTTTTTTTTTTCTTTTTCTTCTTCCCTTCCTCTCCTTTGCCCTCCGCTTAACCCGAGTTTATGGCATACATATTTTTTTTTTTCTTCCATTTTTTTTACTCTCTCTCACTCTCTCTCTCTCTCTCTCTCTCTCTCTCTCTCTCTCTCTCTCTCTCTTCTCTCTCTCTCTCTCTCTCTCTCTCTTCCTTTCCACTCTCCTATCTTTACTACATCTCTCCTCTTACTCCTCCTCCACTCATCTTTATTTCAAGGGAAAAGGGATAAGGAAAGAAGAGAGAAAGAGAGAAATAGAAATAGAACGAGAGGGAAGATCTATGACGTCACAAGAGGGAAGTGGACCCCCCCCCCTCCCCTTCATCCACCCTCTGATTCATCTCTAATTGATGCTCTAATTAAAGGAAATACGCAAGCCTTATATATCGACACGAGGTGAAGAAATAAATTAATTTCGGCGTTAACGGCTCATTACTGGAAAGTCTGATGATGGTGATGATGATGTGATGGTGATGTTGGTGATGGGTGATGGTGGTGATGATGGTGGTGGTGGTGGTGGTGATGATGATGATGGTGATGTTTGGTGATTTGATGGTGGTGATGGATAATGATGGTGATGTTGGTATGATGATGATGATGATGGTGATGGTGATTTGTGGTGATTTGATGTTGGTGATGATAATGGTGATGATGATGATGGTGATGTTGGTGATTTGATGGTGGTGATGATGGTGATTTGATGATGGTGATGATGGTGGTGATTTTGATGGTGGTGATTGGTGATGGTGATGATGATGATGGTGCGATGATGATGATGAATGTTGATGATTACGACGACAATAATAACAATAACAACATTAACAACAACAATAATGATAGTAACACTGATAATAGCAAAACAACAGCAGGACGAAGCGGGAATCTAATAACCACGAGAGCAACAGGTAAATCAAACAGAAAAACCAAGAGAGAAAATAAAGAAAAAACAAATAAACAAAAAGAAACTCATAACATTATTTTTCTCTATTGGGAAATCTGTAACACAAAATTACCCGGATGTTCATTCAGGCCGAACATCCGTGCGTCACAAACAAACTAACAAACACAGACATGCGCACTCGATAAAAAATACCCCAAAACATTAAAAAAAAACACGAAACAAACCCACAAAAAACAGAAAAAAAACATTGCGTAGAAAGATAACGTTTAACAGCCTCAAAACAAACAAACAAAACGAAACAAACATAAAAAAACATTGCGAAGAGAGATAACGTTCAACAGCCTCAAAACAAACAAACATAAAAGCAAACATTGCGTAGAAAGATAACGTTTACAGCCTCAATACAAACAAACAAACAAACAAAAACCAACCAAACATAAAAACCCACTGCCAAGAGAGCTAGCGTTTAACAGGCTCGGGATATATCAACCGGGTGTTTGCTCAGCCTGGCCGCCCCCCCCCCCCCCATGAGAAAATAAACACAACGCAAAATATACATTAGGTAATCGAAGTACTAAGCGCCGGGCCTTGAAAACGACCCTCTGTCTGCCCCGGCTGTCGTCGGCCTGTCCCGCGGGCTGTCTGTCTGTCTGTCTGTTTGTTTGGTTGTCTATCAGTCTGTCTGTTTGTCTATCAGTCTGTTTGTTTATCAGTCAGTCTGTCTGTTTGGTTGTCTATCAGTCTGTCTGTTTGTTTGTCTATCAGTTTTGTCTGTTTGTCTATCAGTCTGTTTGTTTATCAGTCAGTCTGTCTGTTTGATTGTCTATCTGTCTGTCTGTTTGTTTGTCTATCAGTCTGTCTGTTTGTCTATCAGTCTGTTTGTTTATCAGTCAGTCTGTCTGTTTGTTTGTCTATATCTGTCTGTCTGTTTTGTTTGTCTATCAGTCTGTCTGTTTGTCTATCAGTCTGTCTGTTTGTCTATCAGTCTGTCTGTTTGTCTATCAGTCTGTCTGTCTGTTTGTCTATCAGTTTTGTCTGTTTGGTTGTCTATCAGTCTGTCTGTCTGTCAATCAGTCTGTCTGTCTATCTGTTTGTTTGTCTATCAGTCTGTCTGTTTCTCTATCAGTTTGTCTGTTTCACTATCAGTCTGTCTGTTTGTTTGTCTATTTGTTTGCTTGATTGTTAGTCTGTCTGATTGTTTTTCTACCAATCAGTCTGTTTGTTTGTTTGTTAATCTTTCTGAACATTTGTTTGTTTGTCTGTCTATCTTTTTAATTTGTCTGTCTTTAGTTTTGTCTGTTCGTTGTCTTCCCCCCATCTTCCTCTCCTACTCCCCAATATGATAAAAAAAAAACTAAATGGTAAAAGTAAAGAGAAAGCTTGTATGACGGACATACAAATACAGTGATGAATACAGCTAACAACTTTCTTAATAATGAATAAAGATGATCCTCAATAACAACAACGATGGTGATAATGGTGATGATGGTGATGATGATGATGGCGATGATGATAATGATGGCGATAATAATAATAGTAATAACAGCTCAATAATAACATTTATGGCAACAGAAGCTAATAACAGAAAGAAAAGGCAGTAAGAGTACAAATAAAACACACACAAAAAAATCCTACATGTAACTCAACCCCCCCCCAAAAAAAAAAAAAAAAAAAAAAAAAAGACATTACACTTCCATTCCTCCGAACATCCTTCGCAAAAATATTTTCCGAATCCTTTGACAAATATCCAAATGATCGATGAAATATGGAAGACAGTTTTTTAAACATACAGACACACACACACACACACACACACACACACACACACACACACACACACACACACACACACACACACACACACACTGATGACGATGATGATGATAACAGTAGTAGTAGTTTGTAGTAGTAGTAGTATATGATGATGATAATAAATAACAATAATAATAATGATAATGATAATCATAATCATAACAACAATAATAAAAATAATAATAACAATAATAAGGATGATGATGATAAATAATAATAATAATAATAATAATAATAATAATAATAATAATAATAATAATAATAATAATGATTAATATAATAATATACCATCAATACCGACACATGACCTTGTAAAATCAACAAAATAATGATATAACAGATATAACATTATGATGGAATAAGCGAATTATTGCACCTCCGGGCCATGTTGCAAGAGACACCCCCCTCCCTTCCCCTACCCTCCCATGACCCTACCATCGTCCTCCCTTGCCCTTACCTAATGCCTCCCCTGGACACATCCCCCTCCCTCCCTAAGTCTCTCACCCACTACCTTTCCTTAGCCCTACTCACTTCCTTCCCTTACCTCTACGTTACCCTACCCCCACCTTCCTTCGCCCTACCCTACGCCCTCCTCTAACCCCCTTACCCACCATCTCCCTTACCCCTACCGTACCCACCATCCTCTCCCTTACACTAGCCACCACCTTCTCCCTTACCTTACCATCCTTCCTTAACCCTACCCACTACCCTCGCCCTAGTCCTTGCCCACGCCCTACCACACCTCCTTATTCCGTGACCGGAGTAGTTGCGGGGGGGGGGGGTGAGAGAAGAAAAGAGAAGAGAAGGGAAGGAAAAGGGAAGAGAAGGAATAAGACGAAGAAAGGGAGTGGAAAGAGTTAAGAAAAGGAGAGAGAGAGAGAGAGAGAGAGAGAGAGAGAGAGAGAGAGAGAGAGAGAGAGAGAGAGAGAGAGAGAGAGAGAGAGAGAGAGAGAGAGAGAGAGAGAGAGAGAGAGAGAGAGAGAGAGTGAGAGAGAAGGAGAGAGAGGGAGAGAGAAGAAGAGAGAGAAACAGAGAAAGAGAAAGAAGAGAAACAGAGAAAGAGAAAGAGAGAGAGAGAGACCATTACCACGGTTACCAGAATACCGGATCGCCCTGGTTTCGTGGATCTGGTAACCTTCACGCAAGGTACTGGATTCGGGTACTTTCCACAGTCAGCTGTTGAGTTGGGGGTTGCCATCTTTACCCGAATTCAAAACGACATTGGTTGGGGCTTCGTGGGTGGGTGGGGTGGGGGGTGGGGGGCGAAGGGTGTGTGTGTGTGCGGGGGGGGGGTGTAATTAAAATGAGAAAGATAATAAAAAACAAACAAAAAACAAATGAAATTGTTGTTATGGTAATATCAACAATAGCAATTGTAGGTGATATGACTGATGGTGATGGTGATGATAATGATGATGACAATTTCTGTATTTATAATAAATAATAATAATGTTATGATAACAAATGTTGATGCATGGTTGGTGTATGTTACATGGTTGTTGTGTGTGTAGTGTGTACATGGTGTGTGTGTGTGGATGTGGATGTGTGTGTGTGTGTGTGTGTGTGTGTGTGTGTGTGAGACGAACCGACGAGGAAACGTATGGTGTCCTGTGTGTGTGTGTGTGTGTTGTGTGCTGTGTGTGTGTTGTGTGTGTGTGTGTGTTGTTGACTACTCCGATGTGTTGTGTGTGTGTGTGTGTCGTGCTGTGTGTTGTGGTGTGATGTGTTGTGTGTGTGTGGTGTGTAGTGTGTCTGTGTGTGATGTGTTGACGTGAGTGTGTGTGTGTGTGTGCGCGTGTGTCGTGAGGCAATGCAATGTTGTAGACTCATGCGAGTGACTGGAGAGAGTGCATGCGAGAATGGAGGCGGATAGCAATGGTACGGATTGATGAAAGAGCAGCGGGAATGCTAAAATGCAATCAAACAATTGGCCTTATGCGAAGCCCCAGAAACCTTCAACACACTTTGAGGCCAACACGTTCACTGCGCGGTTATTTTTGAATAACCCAAATTT